GTAAGTGTGAAATAAATTTTCCAGTCTTTGCATGTCTTTATTCTCTCTTCATGTTTGATTTGGCTCGGTAATTTCCTCTCAGAATTTTGGAAGGTTTTTTTTTTTTTTTTTCCACTTTTAGCTTCTAGTGTTGGTGTTAAGAAGCTCAATGCTATTTTGGTTTCTATTTCTGTCTTCCTTCCTTTCTTGAAGACTTTAGGATTTTCTCTTTACCCTTCTTATAAAATTTCTCAGAACATGCTGTATGTCGATGTTTTTCTGCACATTGTGCTGGGCCTTGTGAAACTTGTGTCTAATAGATCTGGGAAATTTTTCTGGTTTTTCCTTTTTTTATTAATTTTTTCCTGAGACGGAGTCTCACTCTGTCACCCAGGCTGGAGTACAAGGGTGCAATCTCAACTCACTGCAACCTCCACCTCCCAGGTTCAAGCAATTCTCCTGCCTCATCCTCCCAAGCAGCTGGGATTACAGGTGCACCCCACCACACCCAGCTAATTTTGGTGTTTTTAATAGAGATAGGGTTTCATCATGTTGGCCAGGCTGGTCTCGAACTCCTGACCTCGTGATTTGCCTGCCTCGACCTCCCAAAGTGCTGGGATTACAGGCATGAGCCACTGCAGTGGCCATTTTTTCTGATTTCTTTTGTCATAATCTTCTATTTTCTCTGGCCTCTTTTTCTGAGAGTCTTATTAATAGGATAGTAGACCTATTCAACTCAATTTAAGGATTTTACTTGGAGAAATGCATGTGCGGAAGGAAATAGGGAGGGAGTCTGTAACAGCTGAGCCAGCTGTCAGACCATGATGTTAATCTGATCCAGGTGAAGAAGAGAGGGAAGGAAGGTTGATAGAAGTGTCCTAGGCATTCCTGCAACCCAAGGTCTGGCAAAGCTGCCAGGGAATCCCTGAGACAAGGCCTGTAGACAGAGGACTCTCCTGTCTGTTAGGAATAACCCAGCCTTAGTATTTTTGTTGCACTCAATCATTGGCAGTAGTCTAAGCCCTGGCAGCATGGACTCAGGGCAAGCACAATTTGAATTCTAAAGACCCAAAGGTCTGAGGTGCCAAGGCCATGGCCATTACTATAAAATAGGTTCCATTACCATTGTGATGGTTGAATGTGTTCATCCATCCATGGTTGATGGTTCAGTGCACCTAAAACAGTGTCAGGCACAGCATAACCACTCAAAAAGTGGGTTTTGTTTTCCAGCTTTATTAAGGAATAGTTGACAAACATTATATATATTTATGGTACACAATATGTTATTTTTATATGTGTATACAATGTGAAATGATTAAATGAAGCTAATTACCATATCCATCACCTTATCACATACTTATCTTTTTTGTGGTGAGAACATCTAAGATTTTCTTAGCAATTTTCAAGTATGAAATATTTTATTAACTGTAGTCACCATGCTGTACAAGATGCCCAGAACTTACTCATCCTGCATAACTAAAATTTTCTACCCTTTGACAAACATCTCCCTATTACTCCTCTGCCCCATCAACCCCAGTCTTTGGCAACAGCCATTCTATTCTTTGCTTCTATGAGCTTGACTTTCTTAGGCTCCACGTATCAGTGAGGTTGATTACGCCTTACTTGTCTTTCTGTGTCTGGCTTATTTCACCAAGCATAATGTCCTCCAGGTTCATCTATGTTGTGGAAATGACAGGATTTCCTTGTTTTTTAAGGCTGAATAGTATTCCATTGCATTAAGCACAGTTTCTTAATCCATCCATTTGCTGATGGATAATACTTGGGTTGATTCCATATTTTGCCGGTTGTGAATAGTGCTGCAACAAACATGGGAGTGCAGATAACCTTTCAACGTATTGATTTCATTTCCTTTGGACATATACCCAGAAGTGAGATTTCTGGTTCCTATGGTAGTTCTATTTTTAATTTTGTGAGGAATCTGCATACTGTTTTCCGTAATAGCTGTACTAGTTTACATTCCCACCAACAGTGTGTAAGGTCTCTCTTTTCCCCACATCCTTGAACTCAGAAAGTGTTACTGTTATTGAATGCCAAGGAGAAACCCACCATGCTGTGTGATTAGCTAAAAAATATTATTATAAATTTTATGCTCTAAATCTCAGAATGTATTTACTTTTATTTTAAGCACTATCCTAATAGGGTTGCTTAGCTTGAATACAATCCAAAGCCAGGTTAGAAACGGCACATCAAAAATCAAAAGCTCATGAATATTATAACAATAAGAAAGCTGTGAAATGTGAGTTTGACAGCAGGAGAAAAGACAGAACAACAAGAAAAAGCAAACACAATGATAAAAGCACAAATTTTCAGGGTTTTTAACATTAGGAAACAGCTCCAGAAACTTCAATGGGAATAGGTGTCCCACGGTATTACACAGAACATAACAACTGCTGTTCATAATAATGACCCTGATATATCAAGAAAGTGCTTTACCAGCACTTTGAGGAGGTAGAAAAGTATGACATGCATTTTAAAATAATTTCCATCTATAGCACATAAAAGAAAAAGAAAAATATTGCATGATCTCATTTACATGTGGAATCTAAAAAAAAATCAAATAGAGTGGTTACGAGGAGTAGGGTGGGAGAAGAGGAAATGGGGAGATGTAGGTCAGAGGATAAAAGCAGCACATATGTAGGAGGAACAAGTCTGGAGATTCATTACACACCACGAGGACTACAGTAACAAAATTGTACTTATATGCAACTCATGCTAAATGAGTAGATTTTACTGCTCTTGCCACAAAGACCAAAAAAAAAATGGGTAACTCTGTGAGATAACGGATATGTTAATTTGCTTCAGTACAGTAACATTTTTTCCTATCCATATGTATCCCATAACATCACGTTGTATACCTTAGACATATACAATAAAATTCATTTTAAAAATAAAATTTAAAAAATAAAGTCAAACTTATAAAAACACAAAGGAAAAAAGAAAACTGCAGAGAAGTTGCATAGAAATAGTAAATCTTTGGGGATTCTGGACAGATGCTAATTTTATCAATTCATCTAATTAAATATATGACTTTTTCTGTGCATAATGGCACATCATTTCTTAGTATCACTTGATAATGAACAATCCTTACTCTTGTCATTTTACCACCTGATTTTATGTTGAGATTCCCCACACCTTTTGTGGCATTTGTCATTACTGCTTCGGCTCACTTCCTTCCTAAGCAAACATAAAATGTCTTTGAGGAATAGCAGCAGAACTTCCAAGCCATCTAAATTAAGCTCCCGGGATGGGTCAGGCCATTCCTGTGGTGGACACTGAGAGGGCTCTCACACTGAGGACACGCACACCTGTCTGGACATTGCCCCTGCTTCCTTGCCAGTTTGCTTCATCTGGCAGCAGATCCTTGCTTCCACCCAGCACTCCTTTCCGCATGTTCCTGTTCTTGCATGTGAACCCCTGACATGTACCATGTTCACAAATACTGGGCTGGCAACCAAACTGCTGGCATGGGATATGACATCAATGCCTTTGGAGTAAAACTCGATGATAGCTCATTTTCTAACCTCTCAGGAGTACTCAGAGCCTAAGAAGCTGCTGTCTAGAGCAACAGACTTCCATCTTGATATTGGGCTGCTTATAGCAGCCGTACAAAGAGTGAAGCACAGAGAATGACAGACAGAAAGAGAGAAGTGAGATTGAGAGCTGAGAGACACATACACAGGCAGAAGCAAATAAAGTCAACATGGCAGCATGCTTATAGTATCTGGAATACATTTCAGGATTAATAACAAAAGCGGAATCTGCCACATTTTCCCATTGATTTGTCAGCTCCTTTAAGATTGCCTTTTGCTTGCATCTACACTAAGTAAAATTTATGAGGAGGAAAGCACTGTCATGCTAAACAGGCAGTGCTTAACTATGTTTGGTAACGAAGCACAAAAGACCATACCATAATGTCCTAAAGAAATCTGTTCCTGACATTGCTACAAGGATTAAAATAGCTGTTAATTTTGCACAGGTTTAATTTTCCCAAGTTCCTGCCTGATACCTCCTTTTAAGTCACCTGCTTCTTGGTTTAAAGGATTGTGCTAAATTCTAAACATCCTATCGAACAACCAGTTTTTTAAAAATTTTATTCAATTTACTTCCCCTTCTTTCTCTTCTATTATCAATTGGATGGCCTTCTAAAGTCATTTCTTTTCTATTAGTATTTTCTCTGTTCCTTTTTATTCTAATCAACATCTACACATTTTGAAATATACAAATCCACAGTAAAATAACCAAAATAAACAAGTAAAAGCAGGCAGAACCTGAGCCTGATATTTCAGGTTGTTGCTTTTTTGTCTCTCTCTCTTTTTTTTTTTTTCAATTCCATATCTTCTTTTCTCTTGTCTTTCTATTTTTTCAAGAAATGAAATTAAATGCACTACAGCTCCTCAGAAATGAGTAAATTCAAGACAATAGTTGAGTAACAATCTTTAGAAACAAAAATTTGTCTGAATTTAAAACTGTTAAGTTTCCATTTTCCCCAAACTAAATTGGTCAACTATGGGGAAAAAAGTAATATGAAGCATTCTAACTTTCGATTTGAGTACAGACAACATGTTGGCTAATTTGTGTTGATTATATCTGCCAATCTAGATGCAATCACTTTTAAAAGCAGAGTCCTGTAATTCACTTTTCTATAAAATGTCACCAATGCATTAAATACTTCGAAAACAGTCTTTGTAAATCAATCTGTACTTATTAGATTTATTTAAATGATAGCATTAGAGTTCCATGCCGAGATTTAATTTGGTTTTAAAATAACCCCCTACATGCAGAACACTTCCTAGGGTGGGAGAGGTTAGTTCCCAATTATTTTCATGCCGTCAGTACTAAAAGTGTTTAATGACTCACTTACCTACAAGCTGTGAGTTGTCTGAAGACCTCTCTATTCAGTGGGATGCACACATTTTACTTAAGGCTATTTTATAGGGAAAAAAAGGAAAGAGAGCAGAACCATAGCATTTTCCAATGAAATGAAAAGTAAAAGACCTTACCTTGTTCGTGTCAAAGGTATTATAAACTTGATCAACATGTTTATTGGCCTTCTGATTCAGACCTTGCAGACCCAAAAGTGTCTTAAATTCATGTAGTGTTTGCAGGCCAGATGGATATTCCGTCATAAATGTTCTGTACCACACATGGGTCCCTTGTGTAGGAACTGCTCTCTGATCACCAGCTACAGATTTGCCATTCCCCATCTTGACTCACAGTCTACAGCTTTTCCTCAGGTTGTTTTCATGTAAGTTTTCGCTGGATTTAGTCCCTTACTCCTCACTAAAACTGAAGGCTAACATATGCCCTCAGAAAGCTACTCTAAACCTCTTACAGCAACAAGCTAAATAAGAATAGAAAGCCAGTGAGATTAACTCATCTGCCCAGTTTTAAAACCAAGGTCACTTGGCAGTTGGTAACTAACATGCTTACAGTCATGCAGAGACATAGTTTTTTGGGAAGGGAAGAGGCAGTATTTTAGAGAGGGTGACCCTTGTTATATTGTTAGCCATCAATTTTGCCTATATTATGGAGTGGTACAGTGGGTCTAATGGCAGGAACTTTGAGGTGCAATCAGGAAGCCTAGATTCTATGCTTTGTTCTACCACTTATTAACTACATTGAAACATTACTCACATTCTTGTCTGTTTCCTCATCTGTGAAATAGGAATAAAAGTATCTGCCTTTTCGTACCTGAGTATTGTGAAGATAAATTTAGATAACATTTTTACATGAAAAAATCATACATTGAGTATTATTAAAAAGAAGTCTATGTATAAGAGAGAAAAATAGGTAGAGAGAATCAAATAGTAGTAAGAAGAACTTTAGATGTAGTAGTCAGATAAAGGAACATATTGGGCTGTGTCTTCTGGTGTTGGTCTTCCCTTCTCTCCCCCACCCTCTGTTCTTACCTTTTTCTGGTCTCTCAAGTATCTACACATGCTATTGGCCTGCGAGTTTTATCTCACTCCAGTTTTCTAATCTGGCTAATCTTGTCCTAACCAAGCCCCATTTGCCAATGAATTTAAGAACAGGGTCAATGGACCTAAGAACTGTATCCAAGGTCCAGTAGTGGAAATGAATGCTTTGTGTGGTCCTCAACCCATTTTGCTACCAACCATACTTAGAACCAGATAACCCCAGGTGGAATATAATTCTGTTACCCCTGAATTATAGTTCCTTGGTTTTTGTTGTTGTTGTTGTTGTTGTTTTGAGATGGAGTCTTGCTGTGTCGCTCAGGCTGGAGTACAGTGGCGCGATCTCAGCTCACTGCAAGCTCCGCCTCCCAGGTTCATGCCATTCTCCTGCCTCAGCCTCCTGAGTAGCTGGGACTACAGGCGCCCGCCACCACGACCGGCTAATTTTTTGTATTTTTAGTAGAGATGGGGTTTCACCGTGTTAGCTAGGATGATCTCGATCTTCTGACCTTGTGATCCGTCTTGACCTCCCAAAGTGCTGAAATTACAGGTGTGAGTCACAGTGCCTGGTCTACAGTTCTCCTTTTCTAACCTCACTCAATTCTTTCTTTTATTTCCATTTTGGCCCAGTTCATACATCTGGTTTCTGTCTTTGTCCCTATTCCTTAGTCCTGACTACCTGTTTATTATAAAATCCTTGATTCCTAAGAAGAAGCCATTGGGGCCTAAATTAATTGTGTTGACCAGAAGTGGTGGTGGTTATGGTGAATATGGTTAATTTTGTTTCAAACATATCAATGTAGACTCTCAATGGGACATTTTGATGTCACAATTAAATAACAGGGCTGGGCACAGTGGCTTATGCCTGTGATTTCAGCACTTTGGGAGGCCAAGGTAGGTGGATCCCTTGAGGTCAGGAGTTCAAGACCAGCTTGGGCAACCTGGTGAAATCCCATTTCTACTAAAAATACAAAAATTAGCCGGGCATGGTGGCACATGCCTGTAATCCCAGCTACTCAGGAGACTGAGGCAAGAGAATCATTTGAACCCTGGAGGCAGAGGATGTAAGTGAGCTGAGATTGTGCCATTGCACTCCAGCCTGGGTGACAGTAAGACTCTGTCTTAAAAAAAAAAAAAAAAAAAAGGGTGAAAATAAGGTCATAGAATGTGAAACTTATCATACCAATTTGAAAGAATTACCTGAAACCATTAGAGTGAATGATATTCTTTTTTAGACAGCAAAAAGGACAAAGGGGAGACAGTGAGGACTCAGCCTCGAGATTATTCAGCTTGGAATGAGAGAAATATCCTGCTAGAATTTTCAAAAAACATTCTTTGGGGAAGTCCCCTTTAAGATTCTTTCTAAATGTCTGCCAGAGGATGCTCAGAGGCACTGACTTCTTATCACCATTAACATTTATTAATCACTAATTTTTAAATTAAAGAAAAAATGGATACAGACGATGGCAGAGGAAGGTAGTAAAAGTTTTCAAGGAGGCAAGAGAATCCTTTGAGGAAGGAAAACTTTGGATGGATCAAGAATATAAGGACCTGAGATCCAGAAACTGTTTCTTCATATAAATGTACTTTAAAGAAAATTGGCCAAGTACAGTGGCTCACACCTGTAATCCCTGCACTTTGGGAGGCCGAGGTAGGTGGATCACCTGAGGTCGGGAGTTCGAGACCAGCCTGACCAACATGGCAAAACCCAGTCTCTACTAAAAATACACAATTAGTCAGGCATGGTGGTGTGGCACCTGTAATCCCAGCTACTCAGGAGGCTGAGGCAGGAGAATCGCTTGAACCCGGGAGATGCAGGTTGCAGTGAGCGGAGATCGTGCCATTGTACTCCAATCTGGGCAACAGGAGTGAAACTCTGTCTCAAAAAAAAAAAAAAAAAAAAGCAAAAGAAAAAAGAAAAAAAAGAAAACCTGCATAATGATCATTTGCTGATGCAGAAAATACTTTAAGGTTATTTGTAAAATAAGAATTCTAATATTGAATACAGTATTGAAGTCCAAAAATCAGGAGTCTTGCTGTATAGAACATTAGCCAGTCATAAGATAATGGGAAAAAGCCTCCATTTATGATAGGCTAAAAAATAAATCTAATTGCAATAAATATAACTAGGAATGTGCAAGATGTATTTGAAGAAAATTTTAAAATGGTAGTATAGGGTTCCAATGGAGACTTGAGGATATGCAAAGGCATATCTTGGTCTTGGGTAGAAAGACTTAATATTAAAAACATATCAGTTTTCTCCATATTAATCTGTATTACCACCACAAACCCCCATCTAAAAAATATAAATAGAATTTGAGGGGTAGTGGTGGCTACAAAATGTAATTCTGAGAATCAAGCATAAAAAAATACACAAAAAATTTTGAAAAATAAAATTATTAAGTAGCCCTACCAAAAACAACATGAATCTGGCATGAGAAAAGATGAAGCACTCAATGAAAAATGAATAGATTCTTTTTTTAACTAGGCTCAATTACAAGTAAGAATTTAATATGCAGTAAAGGTGGTATGGTAAGACATAGGAAATAACTGATTATCAATGAATAATTCTGGTACAAAGCTATGGCTATGAGGAGATGCACACACACACACACACACACACACACACACATACACACAAAGGATTTCTAACTTACTTCTCACTCCAAAATAAATTTTAGATGAATCATAGGTTTAACAATATAAATCACTATAAGAAAACAAAGCAAAATTATTTTATAATTTTAGCATGGGAGAGTCCTCTCTAAATATGACCATAGAAGCCATAAACAAAAGGAAATTCAATCATAATCTTTTAAAAAATCCCAGATGACTCAAAACACCATAAAAACAAAACTTAAAAGTTTGTTAGAAAGTATCTGTAATATATATCACATAAAAAAGATAATATCCCTAATGTGAAGATAGTTCTTACAAATCAATAAGAAAAATACCCACCACCAAGTAGAAAAATTGAGAAAGTCCAAATTTAAAAATCTGAATGACTTTTAAACATATGAAAAGATGCTCAATCACACTCAAAGTATAAGAAATGTATGTTCAAACTACAAGGATATACCACTTTTCACCTGTTTGATCAGCAAGATAAGAAAGTTTTGTAATCCACCAGGTAGGTGAAGGTGTGAGGAAACAGGAACTCACACATTGCTGTAGGAGTGTAGACTAACACAATTTTTTCAAAGTGCTATTAGGCAATATCTATTCATAATAAAATGCATATACCCTTTGATCCAGAAATTCGTTTGCTGAGACATTCGACAGACATAATTGTACCTGTGTGAAATGAACAAATTTATAAGGATATTCACTGTTGTGCATATGTAAATCCAAACGAACAATAAAAACCTAAACATGCATTGATAAGGAAATGGTTAAACAGATTTAGTATTTCCATTGAATGAAATAATAAGGAGCAGCTGAAGATAATGAGAGGTTATCTCATTATCTCTCGATATATATGTATTATTACATGTATTGGTCTCAATATGGAATGATCTTGAAGGTATATTGAGTGGAAAAAGCAACAGCCCCATCTTTTGGATGCCATTACATCCATATCTATAGCTATATCATGATATATATGGTTTTACAGATAATTGATTGCAGACAGATTTACAAGTAACTGGTAAAAACATGCCTCTTGAGAAGAGTATTTAAGTGGCTAAAGGCAAAAATGAAATAAAGAGTTTACCATATTCCATTTCCATGTTCCAGGCTTTTGCTATGTTCATATACATAAATTAAAATTATACAGTTTCACAAATGAATATTAAATGTTTTATTGTTTTTGTCTAAAGTTTCAGACATTTCTGAACAAAAAAAAAACAACCACTTATCAAGAAAAGTGTAAAAACATGCTTATTTATGTATATGTAAATGTGAAACAACAATTTTTACCTATGTGTAATATGTATACATATTATGCTTAGGAGATTTATTATTTTACTATGACAAAATAATAAAATTATATAAGCTATATCTCAGTTTTGAGAGGATTTGTACTTTCTGCTTTACTGAGTGTTGGCTATAGTGGAGAAAGGGTATAAAGTCTTTCTTTTTCAACATCTTCAAGAGGAGGTGAGTCTGTAGTCCTTTGCATATTGATTTTGAAAACATCTGCTTTTAAATTTTTTTAAGGAATAACAAAATTACAATGACAATATTTTAAGGAATAACAAAATTTAAGCTTGAGTGACATTTTCATTTTTTTCAGTAGCTCACAAGAAAATTAGAGAACTCTAAATATTATTAATATTTCTAAAAGAAAAGGAAGATTTAGACAATAGGATTAGGGGATATATAAATTGTAAATCGGTCTCCATTTCTAGAGTGTACAATTTTCTTATGTGAAAAAAATTATTTCTTATTTCTTATTGTTAAACAGAATAGACTTTACAGTAACAACAAAAAAGAAAAATTTTTTAAAGAATCTTCCAATTTTCTTATCAGCATTTTTTAAAAGGGAATACCTTCTCTGACTTAATATTCAGGAGTCTTTTCCTTTTTTTTCTAAAGGGAGTCTATGTCTTGTATCTATAGTCACTTTATTTAAATTGTTCTGGAGGAGATTATCTTCTTTAAGCAAAGCTTCTAAATAAGTGTCAATCTGCTCCAGGTCACCTTCTGGACCACCCTGGAAAAGAGAAGCAACAGTCACACCAGGGAAAGAAGCTGTAGAGCTTATTCCTGTAATTTGGGCAGCTTCCTAACAGTCTTCCCTATGAATCATGCTGCAACAACAGCCACCTTACATTTGAATCATGCTTTTAACCTTTCAAAATGTTTTCTCATTTAATGTCATTTTATGCTAACAAGTGGTTAGAAACTTGGTTCTTTTTTTTATTCTTTAGTGGAAGTTAGTACAACTGTTTTTTCTCTTTTAAAAAATTACTTGCTATATTCCTAAAGCCCCCTCAGTCTAAGCTCATCCTTCTCTGTTATAGGCTGTCATCTCCTATTTTTAAAATTAATGAATCTTTAGCCTTATAGGCAAAAAATAGACAAGTAGCCAAATTTTGTCTTCTCTGTTTCTTCTATTTCCATTGCAGTGTCTTTTCCCTCAGTTCTTGGCTTACTACCCTGGTCTGTCTCCTCTTTATCCTCCCTTTCTCTCTTTTACTCAGCTCCCTATTGAGGCGATTTCATGCTCTCCTTTCCTGGGCTTCTTGATCCAACGAACAGTTAGACGTGTAAGGGGGGGGGGTCTTCAAAAAGTTCATGGAAAATGCATATTATGAAAAAACTACATAGGCACGGATTTCAAAATTTTTGAACAAAAATAAACTCACACTAAGTTTTTATGACATATTTGACCAGGATGTAGTTTGAGGCACTAAAAGGATAAGATAACCACTTTGAAAGAAGCCACGATCAGACCAACATGGATTCTGCTGCAATTGAAGCAAGAACAAAGATCAAATGTATGGTGAAACTTGGGTGGAAGAATGGTAAAATCATTCATGCTTTATGAAAAGTTTATGGGGACAATGTCCCCAACAGACAGCCTATAACAGAAGGATGAGATTAGACTCAGGGGGCTATAGGACTATGGCAAGTAGTTTTTAAAAACAGAGAAATCAGCAGTTTATAAACAGATAACTTGAGAATGGATGAGATGATGTTGAAGAGGAAGCTGGCAGTGTCAGACTGTTCACATCCCTTTGCAAGGAAAAAGTTAATCTTGTTCATGCTCTAACTGGAGAAGATGGATGGTAATTAATAGCAGAAACAATCGCCAACACCACAGACATCTCAAGTAGTTCCGCTAACACGATCCTGACTGAAAAATTAAACTTGAGCAAACTTTCCACCCAATGGGTGCCAAAACCACTGTGCCTAGATCAGCTGCAGACAAGAGCAAAGCTTTCAATGGAAATTTTAGACAAATGGGGTCATGATCCTGAAGGATTTCTTCAAAAAACTGTAACAGGAGATGAAATGTGGCTTTGCAAGTATGATCCTGATGACAAAGCAATGGCTACCTAGAGGTGGAAGAGGTCCAGTCAAAGCAACAGTGGTTGGTCAAGAGCAAAAGTCATGACAATAGTTTTTTGGGATACTCAGGGCATTTTGCTTGTTGACTTTCTTGAGGGCCAAAGAACAATAACACCAGCTTATTATAATGGTGTTTTGAGCAAGTTAGCCAAAGCTTTCATAGAAAAATGCCTGGGAAAGCTTCATCAGAGTCCTCTTCCACCCTGACAATGTTCCTGCTTATTCCTCTCATCAAACAAGGACAGTTTTGTGAGTTTTGACGGGAAATCATTAGGCATATCTTATCGTCCTGATCTGACTCCTTCTGACTTCTTTTTAAAAAATCTTTAAAAAAAATCTGTAAAGGGCATCCATTTTTCTTTAATAATGTAAAAAAGACGGCATTGACATGGTTAAATTCCAAGAACTCTTAGATCTTTAGAGATGGACTGAAAGGCCGCTGCCATTGTTTACATAAGTGTTTGACCTTGATGGAGATTATGTTGAAAAATAAAGTTTACATTTTTACTTTTAACTTTTAATCCCATTTTTCCACAAACTGTTTGAGCTCCCTTTGAATGTTCCCTCTTAGCTGACTGATCCAAATCTCATTCCCTTGGGCCCAACTAAGGGATCAACTAACTCTCCAACTAAGCGGATAGATAAGAGGATTTTTTAGGAAGGGCCATTCAGAAGCAATCCCAGCACTAAGTGTCTAGCACCATTAACCTCGCCTCTGCATCTCTTCCATAAAATGTGCTTCAGCTTTACTCCCTCCACCATAGATTTGCTCTAACAAGGCTGGATTGTACTGAGTTCCAGCTTTTGACTGGGATACTGTTCCTACAGATGGATTACAATGATGCTGATATTTACCTTGACTTCCAAATATTCGCTGACCCTGAAGAATGCCCTGTGACCCTGACACAAAGCACTTCTCGTCCTGTTAGATATAATCTGATCTTTTGGCTATTATCCTCTGCCTGGTGGACTAAACTTCTTCCAGGATGCTACATTATTTCCGTGCTCGGCTTCTTCATGTGCCTGCCCCACCTCTATCTGCTCTGGTCCCTCATCTCGATTCTCTGCTGTACTCTACTGCAGTGGCTCTGGCAATCAGAGACTGTGAAATAGAACTTTCATGTGGGGGGATGAGAGTAATACATTTGGGCAGGAGCCCTTTAAGTACCTCTCCACTGAGACTAGGCAAAAGAGTTTCATACTCTGCTGGCTGAAGCCCTTCACCCGCCTACCAAACTTTGTGAATACAGTAAATTAAATTAGTATGGTTACTCTGGCTGCTGCTTAAGAACCTAGAGGTTTGGCAGAGGAGTAGTAAATGATTATTCTTTCAGTTTTTCTTAGCCAAATGTGGATTTGCTATTATGAAAGTCAATTATTTTATAAACTTGTTTAATAGTCAGGAAGTGGTATTCAATCTCTAGGATACAGAATTTCTTTGGTCTTTCTAGTTTACTTAAGTGAAACAATAATCATCACTGAAACACTACCATGTGCTAGGCTCCATACCAGACTTTTAACACAAGAAAACATTTGACATCCTTCACAGCCACAAGAACCAAAAGGAGCTCTACTGAAATCCTACTCTCATAGCAATAAATAAACTACACAAATTGGCTGAAGCGGTATGGTTGATAGAAGCACAAATACAATTACCTTTATATAAGAATTAGCATTAAACATCCTTTCAAATTTTAATAACATAATATTTTAACTGTTGCCTAGACCATCAAAGGGGAGAGGGACTTTTCTTTTGGCAATATACTTAAATTAAGCAAAAAACAACAACATAAAAGCTTTTCTGCATTTTGTCTTGTACTTAATATAAATTTCAGATAAATTAAAAAATTTATTTCTTTGAAGTGGGAAAGGACTCCCACTTTTAAATGTTTACAACCAGTACTGAGACCCAGGCAGTCTGGCTTCAAGGTCCATGTTCTTCACACGTTATACAGATGTATGTATGGCGAGTTTCCTTGTCTCTCCCCAGCGGGCAAGGCAATCCAGTCCTCTAGCCAATTCTCCATAAGGGTCTCAGTTCCTGTCCCCTCACCTTCCGTGGCCCATGAAGGCTCTGTCTCCTGTTCCAGCACTCAGGGCCTATATTTGAGGACAAAATGCCACAGGCTCCCTAGGCTCACTGTTCTGGCTTGGATTTCTCAATTTATTTGTAGAATCCACAGGAAGACTTTGAATCTTGACTACATATATTTTCAGTTTTGTTGTATTGTATGCAGCATTTCCATGTGCTATAGAAGATGGGCTCTTCCTCATTAGTTCAACCTATCACATAACTCAATTCTTTATACATTAAAAACATACAAACAAAACTGACAGTAATCCATACTTACAAGATGTTTCCTGACTTCTCCCAAACTGTCCACTAAGATTAAGAGGGTTTATTTTTATTTATGCATTAAAATAAAAGTAAAATATTTCGCTGTCTGAAAAAACTGAAAAAATTACCTACTGGTCACATGTTATTAAGGGGACACCAAGGGCGATCATGCTATACCAACAGCACAAGCAAAGATTCTGAATTAAGATACAAAAGAACGTGCGCCTGTAGTTCCAGTTACTTGGAAGACTGAGGCAGGAGGAATCACTTGAACCCGGGAGGCAGAGGTTGCAGTGAGCCGAGATCACGCCACTGCACTCCAGCCTGGCAACAGAGCGAGACTCCGTCTCAAAAAAAAAAAAAAAAAAAAAAAAAAAAAGATATGAAAGAACAGAGTTTCTAAATGTTCTAATATATGCTTTCACAATTCATTTATTTCGGATTTTGAAATCCTTATGTGGAGAGAAAAGGCTGACTTAAGTGACTTGTCCAGGTCAGTAAGTGAATGACAATGTTAAGAGAAGTTAGCTGAGTTCTCGTTCCGTAGAGTCTACTCCTACTGCTCAAATACAATTTTTTCACTCACCAGTTGAAGTTTCTGCAACAATAGTGCCAGTTTTATACGAAGATTCTTCAGCTTATCCTCAGAGATTTTTCTTTTATTTTCACATTGCCCCAGAGAGATTTCATTATGTATTCCTCTTGTATTTGAATCATAGATAATGGACTGCAATTTCCTCTTTATTTTTTTTTCATATTGGACCATGTAAGTATTCTGTACCTGGGAATGTTTTAAAAACAGTTTTAGCATGTTTTAAAAATATTACTTTCCCCCTAGTATCACTAGACAATTTCATATTCCAACTCTGCCTACATGCACCAAGTGTCAACTTTGTAGGTAAGTACTACAGGTAGTCTAAATTTAGGAAATGTTGATACCCTTAAGGAACTTACATACACTCTGATGGAAGACTAAGAAGAGAAAAATGTTTCTAATTATGTAATTAATTATAATTAATAAGTAATTGTAATTATGAGGAGGAAAGAGACACATGACAGTGAGCTTGGGGACCTCTGCTCTGGAATGAAGAAGAAACCTTGTAAAAGTTGAATCTGTTCTCCCAATGGTGATCACCAGATTATTTAAGGCACAAAATGAGCAGGTGCCTGTGACTCTCTCTCCGCAGCACCAGTAATTCACAGGCAATGACAGAATGGCCCATCACCTGGGGCTGTCTGGCAGATGATGTAGTGTTACTTGTGAGGCAAGGCTGTAGCATCTAGAAAGCACAGAAACTACAGAAAGAGGAATTCCTGTTCTCACTCTCTTTGGGTTCCTTATCATGATACAAAAAGTACAGGCAGTTATATATATGACCCTCATTAATTGAAGAATCTTGGTTGTGTTCCAAAATTTCATGCTGTGCCTGAGGCACTCATGAAGTAGAAACAGGTAATGGAGAGGCCAAATGCTTAAGTTTCAGAATGACATTAATTGCTTGTATAAACATTTCTAGAAGGCCAAGTGACATTCTGAGAAAAGAGATACAGGGCAAATTCCACTTTGATAAGCATTTGGATGTTTATGTAATAAGGAGATTTCTGGGTTCTAATATGACTGGGTTGCCAAGAAAGTTGTGAGGTAGCCTCATTTGTCTTTTGGGCCTATCTTTCCCTCTTCAGACCCTCCACTACATTGACTATGTGCAGACCCTTCTCTGACGTCCACATCATCTCCTTTAGCATTCACTGACCTCACAAATTTCCCCTTTTTCTACAAAATCCTTTAAACAAGCAAGCGAAAATCCCTACATGTAGGAAATTCTGTTTAATAAACATTCATTAACTAGTTCCTAACTTGAAAGCACTGCATTTGATTATAGATGATGTGGAGATATATAAGGTACAGTCTTTGCCCTCAAGAACTTTCTAGTCTACAGTGTGAGATAATACAAGTGTGCAAATAAATCTACAAGTTGATGCCTTAAAACTAAGGCAACCACCACCTCCACCAGGAAGCTTCATAGATGCTTCCTATAGAGGCTGCAGGCAAACCCAGGGAGAGACATCTACTGCCCGAAGGTGGAGTAGGAAGAATAATCCAACTCAGCTGGAATAAGGAGAACAGCGTTACATACAGTTCACATGTCACTAGTCACTTAACAGTTTTCAGAACTCTAGAATGTTATAGCTTTTGCCACGCTGAATAATAGTCAGAAAACACTTTTTTCATAAAAATAAAAGCCACAGTAAAATAAACCAAAACAAGTCAAAGAAATATCAAAAATGGCAAACATTATGGAAATATTATTTGAAAAAACAACAGTATTGCTCAAATCAGTCATAAAAAGGAACCTGCTATTGACACACTTAAATGGACCTGAAGTGATGCTGAATAAAGGCAATTGTCAAATGACACATACATATGATTCCATTTCTACAGCATTCCTGAAAAGACAAAACGATAGAGATGGAGAACAGATTAGTGGATGCCAGGAGTTAGAGTTGACTGTGGAAGAGCTGAGTGGATATGACTATAAAAAGGCAGCATAAGGGAGATACTTATGGTAATGAGAATTCTGCATCCTGATTTTGGTAATGGTTATACAAACTTCCATGTATGATGAAATGACATAGAACTATACACACACATTTTACCAAATTCAATTTCCTCGTTTTGATATCGTACCATAATTATGCATAATTATGTACTGGAGGAAACCGGGCGATGAGTACACAGGACCTCTCTGTACTATTTTTGCAACTTCCTATGAATCTATAATTATTTTGAAATTAAAAGAAAAAAGCAAAAACAAAAAGCCTCAACACTATTAATACGAGATGAGACCAAGAATGTTTATATAGTACACTACAAAGTCATTCAGTCTCTGAAAGTTTACCTTTTAGTAACCAGTAAACTATGTTTTTGTCAAATACTACAGGCCAGCTTTTTGGTTTACTCTCCTGCCTTTCTCTCCAGGAGGTTCTGCTAACCTCTCCAGGAAGTTTCTATGAAAGGTAACGATTTTAACAACTTTTCAAACTCAGTGTAAAAGGACATCTAGTTGTATTAGCTTTTTTTTGTGTTAATATTTTAATTAAGGTGAGAAAATAATTGTAGCAAGATGAGAGGCTTAGTTCTGCTGGTTAAACCCACTCTTGTAGAGGTATCTGCAGATCACAAACCAAATTCTTTCCGAACTACATTAATTCAGAATGGAAACAGGATTTGAAAGAAAGGATATTTAACTGAGATTTTAATTTTCTGCCTTGAATTCAAAGAGTAGGAGCTCTAGCAGTTTCGCAGCTCCAAAATCCTAATGAGTTTGTGCAAAGTAAGGAAGGCCTACAACATCTATAGATTTTGTAGCATACAAACAGGAATATTCATTTAAGTGTTTATGTTGGCAGGTACTAAAGCAGAAACAATCGACTTTGATTCAACATTAACTATGAAGATCCAGATGCATTCAAAGGCACTGGTTGATTGCTGCTAGAATACAGAGTTTGATGACAGGATTATTAACTTCAAAGATTCTATCATCTGAGGAGAGAATGAAATATAATAAACTATTATAAGGTAGAAATGTTAATTAATGCTAAACAAAGTTTTAACTTTCTCCCAGAACACAGAGAGGTCAAGATTAATTTCTCATGGAAAAACTGAGTCTTCACCTAAAAGATAATATTGACTAAGCTCAATGGGGATGGATTTCAAGAGGCTGACTGTGTATTGGGAGAGTGGATAGGAGTATTTTGGGGAATATTAGGAGGGGAAAGGCTCAGAGGTAGACCACTGTAAGTAAGTTGGAACAACTCTGGGGCACTCATTTTAGCTGGAACAGACGGCTTCTGAGGAAAGAATAAAAGATAATGGTTTGAGTCAGGTGATGCAAGACCACCAATGCCATTATAAATCAGCTACTACTACAATAGTAGTTATGAAAACCACGGTTGTGACCAAGGAAGCCTGTCACTTATGTAAGTTTCTCCTATGCTGTGATGTGGCTTTCTTCATTGAATGTACACACCTTCAGCCAAGTTGTTCTGTGTTTCACTTACAAGATCTCATTTCAACAGGAACTTCTAGTCTCCTGACTGTTTATCTTGCTTTGATTTTTTGAACCCAACTTGCTCTGCATGTTAAGGGGATACTGCTCATCATCTACACTAACACTGTTCACCCCGAATAAACACGAATCTTATTCACTCTGGTTCCATTACTAATGGTGTAGACGTTGGAAAAAATATTTGGAAACAGATATAAAAGGGTATATATAAGCTTGGATAAACAGCTATATAACAGTATAATTCTTAGCACATTTTTCTAAGTTTTACAGTGTATTCAAATCAGAGTCCCCTCCCAATAAATGGAGAGCTACAGGAAGATCCAGGAGCCTTCCTGATAAGCTCCTCAAGCTGACTGCCACAGACTTTCAGTTGGGACAATGAATTCCTGGTGGGCCAACAAGCCAACCCATCTACCACACACACCCCACATAAATATATCACTGTCAGCATCTCCTCCATATATGTCTCATGATGTAATGTCAGGTCTCCAGTCAGTTAAAAATAATTCTTCTACACCAACAGGTTGAGAAGTTGTAATATACTTATTGCAAGTAATACATGAGACCTCTATCACAAAGATGAAGTATTAAAGTCTGGATGAGAATAAGATGAAATAGCCAGGTGTGCTGGTACAAGCCTATAATCCTAGTCACTCTGAGGCTAAGCCAGGAGGATTGCTTGAACCCATGAGTTCAAGACCAGCCTGGGCAATGTAGCAAGATCCTATTTCAAGACAAAAACAAAGCAACACAAAAATAGAGGGGGTGGGCAAAAAAAGTTGAAAAAAAAAGTAGAATGAAAAGAACTTGGGAGTGGGAAAATCAGGGTTCCAATTCTGAATCTGATCATGACACTGGAATATTATCTTTCTGAATCTCTATTTCCTCATTACTGAAAGAGATAGTGGTACCTACCTACCAAAGTTGTGAGGATAAATGAGTTAATATAGAAAAGACCTAGTTCAGTGCCTGGCTCTAGTGGCTCTCAATCAATTAATCCCAGTTTTACATTATTGATGAAAATAATATTAGTGGTAGAACAGCATCAAAATATATTGAAAGTAAACTTTGTCTTTTATTCTTGTTAGGAAATGTTGACAAGTAACTCTTCAAACAAAATGTTCAGTTACTACTTTTTCAGCAAAATTTTATTCAGAAAATAAATTCACTTTTTAGTTGAACAGTAATGGGAGACCAATAACTACACCCCCCTCTTTCATTTCCAGTTGTTTATCACCATCCAGTTGATAGAAACATCAAAGGCAAACCTATCAACAAGGGTTGTTAAATTTAGGCCCAGTCTGAACTTTAAGACTGTCTTTGTAAGAAGGAATATGGTTTAGGTTCTACTTGTCAAGTTTGCCTTCGTCGTATGTCTCTGGGGAATTTATTTCACCATTCTTTTTCAATTATAAAACAAAAATATTCAGATGTCTTCCATTTTATTTGCTTCTTGGACTTTTGGCTAAGATCAAATGCAAATGTACTCCATTACCTATAAAAATTATGAATGAGGCAGTGTCTCTGCTTAGAGTCATTCTTTGCACAACTCCAAGAAGTGCCAGTCACCTCTTCATCTTTACAGATTTTCATGTTATGAGAGCTTTCCAAAGTTGGCTGTAAACATAAGCATACAGAAGAAGATGCTAATGTTTGCACTAATGATGGAGCTGGTGGCTAGGTGACAAAGCACAGGTAACGTGTCAACAAAGACCCAACATTTCAGTATGATCCTGGTGTCAAAGTTCTTGCCTGTGCGATGAATCTGGGAACCTTCATGGCCATCCTGGCTCCAACATTCATCCCCTATGTCAGCTTGGCCAAGTTCACAACTTGGAGTCCCAGGGTTTTTTTTTTTAAGAGTAAAATAAGGGATTTGAGGGCATATGATTTTTTGAGATATTTCTGTAGTAGAACTGAAGGGCACTCTGGACTCTTTCTCCCCCAGGAAATCCTTAAGGACTAGATACACAGTATTATTTGATAACTGTTAAAAAAACATCTACCCAGAGAAAGAGAAAGTTTGTAAGGAAATACACAAAAATATTAGTATCAGTGATCTTGGAATGGTTTGAGGCTATGGATGAATTTTTAAAAACTGCTTTTACTTCTTATATTAGCATTAATTACCTTTATGTCTACTTTTAGAATGGAAAAATCACTAACTTAAAAAACTATTGCTAAGGTACTTAAACAACTCAGATATCAAATTGTTTGAAATAATTTAAAACTTTAATCTAAAATTTATGCTTCAGTCTAGCATTTTGAGGTTTCAGTGAAAATATTTCTTAAAAGCTCAGAATGTCCTGTTTCCTATTCAAGATACAGTCCTATTCCAAGTGTTTCATAGCTTTATGTTATAGAAATGTTAGTATTTTAAAATTCAAAAAGATATTGCTTTATGACATCTGATACGCTATACATTAATATAAGTCTCGATAAGTGAATGCAAATTTGATTTCCTTTCAAACCTAACATTTGGAAATGTACATTATTTATTCTTTGGAACACAGGATCATTTAGAATATAAATGGCGATACTGAAAGGACGCTTACCTGGTTGAAACACATTTTCAGCTTTTGGTTTATATGCTCTGGGCACTGCTCCAGCTGTTTTCATAAATGATAATAGAACAGGATATTAGCTTTTAGAGAACCTGCTGTCTACAGCAGAGTTATATCATGCAAGCATTGAGTATAAAAAGCATCAAAGTCTAGAACTGGCCAACATTGGCACTATGGGCCTTTTAAGTCTGAATCTAATTCAATTAATTAACTAAATTATACTCAGCTTCCTTCCAAAAAAGGATTAAGTCAGCTTACATAAATGAATACAGCACAGTTTAAAAAACTGTGCAGATACAGAAATCAAGGTGAAGAAAAATGAAGCGATAAAATAATAAATATTCAAAGGGAGATGTCAAGAGGGCAGCTGGAGTCTGGGTTTCTTGGAAGGGAGTGCCAGAAAAACAGATGGGGAAGTCACTGGCATGTGGGGGGTAGTATTAATGTTTTAAAGTTAGAGATTAGATGAGGTCACCTACAAACAGCATTTAATAGAGAAAAGAAAGTGGCCCAGGAACAAGCCTTCAGACATGCCAACACTGAGAAACCACGTACAATAGGAGCTGCCACAAAGAAGATGGGAGAGAGGAAAGCAAAAAAATGGGCAGTGTGCAGTCAAGGGAGCTACAAAAAGAAGGTGCTTCAAGAAGGTGAAAGTGGTCACCTGGGTTGAAGGCCTCTGACAGGTCAGGTAAAAGTGACACTGCACTTATCAAGAGGTCACTGGTGGCCCTGACAAGAACAGTAATAGTTCAGCTGTGGAATCAGAAGCCCCATGGGAGAGGATGAGGTGAGAGTAGAGGGTAAAGAGGCAGAAACAATGATTACAGACTAGAAAATTAGGGATGGTGCCCAGGATCAGACTCATATAGTCCTTCTTGCATTCATAATTTGTGCTGTTTTCACCAATACCAACTATATCCATCATCTCCACAGGCAACAGTGAGCATGGAGATGGAGAAGAGACCTCCCATCCTCCTGTACTAGGCAGCTCTTCCCTCCACTTCTGCTGAGCAGCTTGCTTGTAAGGCATGCGCACCTCACTCAACTTCACCGCAGCCCTGCGGGAGCCCTTTGTAGACTACTCATTGTTACTGAAGCATAGCCCATAGATGTGAGGCTTACTCTTTGCACCCCAAGTAGCTGTTGGAAGGTTTTTTTCCAATCACATTTGGTACTGTTTCTGAGAGGAGGTTTGGTCGACACAATTTTCTTCATCTATCTCAGTGATGTCTTGGTGATTTCAGTAAGATGAGTGCCTTGGATACCTAATGTGCCTGACCTACCCAATCCGCAGCTCAGCTTCTCATAATAAGCAGCTGATGAGGTGTATCTAAGGAACAGAAACTTTGTTTTTGGTAGGGGAGAGGGAACTCAGGGACTAAGTCCTGTTTCTTTTCATCTCTGCAACTATCTGTCTGTAAGATCTTTTCCACCTTATGTAACTCACAGTCACAATGATTTCAAATATAGGTTTAATTACGAATCACCATTTAGCGTAAAGATGCTCATCTTCATTCACTTAAGCCATTCTAGGTCCTCTTATTGGAAACACTTTACATTTTTCTTTACTGAGGATTAAATTCAGGATATTCTATCATTCCCGCACAGTTCCAAAAAAAAATAAAAAATAAAAAACAACTCACCTCACAACTTAATGCAGGTTCTTCCAATTCTGATGGTAGCTGATACTCAGGAAAAAAATACAGAAGAATCTCCCTAGGAATACAAGTAGAGCAGATATGGGAATACACGAGGATAACAGAGGTAGCACTCACCTGTCAGAACTGGATTTGTCTTCTGGGTATCAAACATCCTGGCAAAGACGAATATTAGTTACCCCCAAACATTTTGTTTTTAGAATTGACATCAAAGTGTTTTTCAGAAAGCACAGACGGGAGAGGAAGGTGAGTGTGGCTATAAAAAAGGCAATAGGAGGTGAAGGAACTGGTCTGTACCTTGACTGCATCAATGTGAATATCCTGATTGTGATACTGTTCTACAGTTTTGCAAGAAGCTAGGTGAAGGACTCAGGGGATCTCTCAGTATTATTTCTTACAACTTAACGTGAACATATATTTATCTCAAAATAAAAAGGTTACTGAAAGAGAGAAGGAAGGAGGGAGGGAGGGAGGGAGGGAAGGAAGGAAGAAAGGAAGGAAGGAAGGAAGGGAAGGAGGGAGGGAGGGAGAGAGGGAGGGAGGAAGGGAGGGAGAGAGGGAGGGAAGGAAGGGAGAAAAAAGAAAAGAAAAGAAATCAGCCAACCTCACAATGCCTCGCAGTCCATAAACAACCAGTCCAGGAAAGGCCTGTACCTAGTTAAGTGTTCTCTTCTGCAAAGAACTCAACATTGCAAATTTCCTGGAAGAAACTAGGCTGACTACAGACTTACTGACTTTTTTCCTGAGAAAACCAAAGAGTTTAAGTCTCCAGAGTAATTTTTTCATGAGGGACTCCAAGACTGCTCTTAGAAATCATACGTGGACCCTGCTCTTTCTAAATAGTGGTGGCCGCTGTTCTGACAGGTGCTTCATTTTGTCAAAAGGCAGTAGCACCCATCCTTCTACTGTGACAGTTTTTCTAGGATTAATCACCTATATGACACATATTTCATTCCTGGGAGAATATGAGATCTAGAAATTTATAGCCACCACATCTTAAAAGTGCATAGTATTCTAATGCTGACGTGTTCCAAGAGCTTCATGTATATTATCTAAGGGATTTACAACATCTTTCCAGTTGTAAAATAATATGGTAAACCAAAAACAAAACAGCTCTTTCTTATACAATTTACATTCCTCATACTTTAAGTATATTATTTGTATTAATACGCATTTATAATTTCAAGAGGATTAAAACCAAAAAGCTGAAAATTCTTGGCATTGCCCAAACATTAAATATGACATACAACACTCGTCAGAGTTATTTGTCTGGCTAGCAAGAAGATAAATGGGGTAGGAATGGGATTAAAAAAAAAGTGGGGTTGGGGGTTTCCGGGTATATGAGATGAGAAGAAATCACATGGCATAGAAAGAAAAGTTGCAACAGGAGTTCCTGGGAAAGGCCACCTGGGTCAACATTATGGCCATTTTGTTGGAGCAGGAGCGTGAGAGACCTTTTACACAAACTAACCTTGCTACTCCTCAAATCCAGGATCCCTTTCCCCATCACAGGCTTGAAACCTTTTAAGAGTATTAGTTCTTTCCATTGTGAGTATAAATTCTTCTGTCTTTAAATTTACAGCAAATCAGAAATCCCCTAAGAATATGCTTTTAGACAAATAAATATTAGATGGCAGCATTTACTAGCGAAGGGGAGAAACCAAAGGAGAAGGTTGGCGAGAGAAAAAAGTTCTGGATTAGTTCTCAATTACTTTCCATCTGGCATCTCTGTTTCAAAATCTATAGCAAACATCATCTATAGTCTGAATACTGTCTTACGTATGTACTATTATTTCTAAAAACAGACACATAATAGACATCTTTAAACATGATTTCATGTTTACTGAAATCACAGTACCTTTTGCCATTTTGCATTTTCTCAACTCATTAATTCCACAGGCATTCTTTAAACCCCTACTAAAACAACACTTTTGACCTTCAGTGCCCCACAGAGCCTGGCATCATGCCCCCATGCTAGGAACCCAATACAATCTTACTGAACTGATTTGGTCTAGTGGGGAAATAGAGACAAGAAAGCAAGCTGTTCCAACACCATGTGATAAATGCTTGGAGGACAATGAGAAAGTTGCATCACGGAGACCAGAAGAAGGGGCTCTAACTCATATTTCAGTAGCCATAAAGGAAGAGTGGGAGTTAGCCAAGTGTAGTGGTTGGGGGTATGTGAAGGAAGTATTCCAGGCCACTGGCACCATACACCAGAGAATTTTGTATTTTTCTTTGGTAAAATATCTGACCAAAAAGTTAGTCAGATTCAAGTATTTTTTCTTTGTGGTTTTTTTTGTTTTTTTGTTTTTGAGACTGAGTCTCACTCTGTTGCTGAGGCTGGAGTGCAGTGGTGTGCGATCTCAGCTCACTGCATCCTCCGCCTCCTGGGCTCAAGCAATCCTCCCAACTCAGCCACCTGAGTAGCTGGGATTACAGGCGTGCACCGCCACACCCAGCTCATTTTTGTATTTTTTTAGAGATGGGGTTTCGCCATGTTGCCCAGGCTGGTCTCAAACTCCTGAGCTTAAGTGATCCACCCACCTTGGCCTCCCAAAGTTCTGGGATTACAATTGTGAGCCACCGCACCCAGTCAATCCAACTATTCTTTATAAAGTACTAGAATTGTGCCAAGCACCGCTGTAATTTTCTACACATAATTTCATGCAATCTTTAGGGAAACTCTTTGATTGAGGAATTATTCCTATTTTCTCTGATTTCCTGGCTATTAAAGACACCCCCACCACCACACCCAAGTCAGTTCCCTGTACCCTCCTTCAACGTCTGTCTCCCTCCTGGACTCCCTGGTATTGAGCCTTTTACTCTCTTCTACATCAGATTGCTCCTAAATCACTTCTCCCTTGGAGATTCTGGTCTGTAAGACTGACTAGAGAGGAAGACAAACTACCCAGCAACTTGCAGTCTCTAAACACAAACACGCAGGCCTTTCCCTTTTCCTGCATATTTAATTCAGGAAAACAATTAGATTCTGCAAAAACCTATAGGATACCAAAAATCATAGACTTAGGGTCTGATTGTAGATGCTTAAGAACTCTTTAAAAATTACTTCAGTTTTATTGTCTTAAGTCCCTTTCTTTAATGATATTCTTCAGCAATACTTTCTTTGTTCTTGAGGATACATCTTATCAAACCTCTCTCTATCCTCAAACTTGGGATTTCCCCTAGAACAGACACAGTGAGCCATGAATCCATAAAGTACATTTCAACGTGGGCCAGGAGACACGAAGCACAAAATTATAGGAATAAACCAGCATTCATTCACTAGGAACCACTGCATCAAGTAGATGCATCTGGGGCAACTCCTGAACCAAATGCTGCCATTTCAATAGGACTTCTGTCCCACTTAGGAACAGGAATAGTCCTTCCCTTGAAGCATTTACTCAGAATTTTAACCCCAGAGTTGATAATAAAATCAGAAATTTGTTTTTTTTAACATTGTCTTTCTTCTCAAGAATTCAAGAAATAAATATCCTAAAGATTTCCTCCAAAGTTGTTACTTTCATCCAGAATCTTGGCTATGATACCCATCTCAGCTGAATTTCTGTGGAATCCACATTCATATCTGCAAGTTTGAATTTGAAGTTTTTATAGAGTTCAATTAAGTGAGCTGAACCACTAAATCAACACTATCTCTATAAATCATGGCCAAGCTTTGAAAGGTTCCAGTTAAGGGCCATTTCCATTTCACTCCATAGTCATACTCCTTTCTCAACAAAATAATTTTTACTAAGAAAAATCTTTGACTCATGATGATACAACTCTACTCTTTCTAAACATGGTAGACATGGGCAGGAGTCCATAGAGTTACCTGGTCATCCAGCTTGTCTTTTTAAACAATAACCTAGTTAATTAGCTTAGTCCTGGCTAAGGAGAAGAGCAAGCCTCCTGCTGGAGGTTGACCAAAACTTTCTTCCTCAACTCAGTAAAAGACTAGTATGAAATGGAAATGGCACAGTTCTAATAATGTTTTTTTGGCAGACCTCAACTGCTAGTATATGTATTTTCATGGCCTTTTCCTTTAACAACTGGCAGAAATGTTAAAAAGTGACTTTCTTTTTAAACTTATTTTTGGTATTTTAAAAATCTAAGATAACAAAAAGCATGTTTATATTTTTACAGAAATGAAATAAACGGAGTCTGCCTTATCAAGTTTACATATACAACAATAAACCAAAACAAGGCATTACAGTTCAACAGTTAAGAGCAAGGACTGTGGGGTCAGATTGCCAGGAAGTCAAATCTAAGCAAATGCTAGGCAAATTACTTAACCTCTACATGTCTCAGTTTTCTCATCTGTAAAACGGGGATAATAAAAGTGTATATTTATAGGATTGTTGTAAGATGACTGAGCTATCATATGCAAAGTCCTTAGGACTATGCCCAGCATATAGTTAGTGCATAACAAATATGTATTGTTACTAATATTATTGCTATTATTATTATTGAAAGAGATTTGAAATGTAATACTACTCCAACATTTAGGATCATCTGACAAAATTTAATAGTCTGGAACCAGTTCAGCTTATTTACCACTAACTTAACTCAGTTGCACTCCAATATTTAAAAGTATTTTAACATTCAGTAATACTACCTACTACTTTTTACATGAATCCCTTTCAATTAAATTAAAAGTATTATTTAAATACATGCCGATATATGTTAGACATACTGTGGACAATTAGATCTGTTTTCAAAGATGTTACTTTATTTGGGAAGTCAACAAATGAATACACAAAAAGCAAGAAGTAATATAAGATAGGAAAATGCCTAACTGAGCAAAATTAGGTAATGAGTATGTACACTAAAAACTGTACTTTAATTGTTAGCATTAATTACACAGAGATGGCCAGACACTACCTTGGCATTGTGGAAACGGATAAGGATGATGTCACGTCCAAAGTGGCCCAAATGGAGGAACACCCTTCACACTTAAAAGGTCTCTAACTACTACTCTTTTTATCATATGACAAGAAAGGTAAATGTGGTAAACAATTCTGAGTATTTCTTTATACTTTATATCCTTTACATTGTACACAGCGAGCCACATTCTTCATGCCTTGAAAAACTTAAAGTCTAGTAAATTCAAGAAATTACATGTGGACCAGATATAAAATAGCAAATAATACTACAAAAACAACAACAAGAAAAATAACAACTAACAAAGAAAACAAGAAATCTGTTTTCACTGGTGAAATTTGAGAAAACACACTACATGTTGCTGAAGGCAAAAGAGAAAACTGGTATGACAAGGAGCTCATTTTGTTTTAGTTAAAGCTGTGTTCTGTCCACATTTTTTTCATCATTGACTATTTTTAATAAAATAATCACACAAAATTTAAGCTGATACAGAATAGAGCTGATATATTAACACATTCGGCTTTCAGAGTGCTCAGCTGATAACAGTATGATGATTCTAAGCAGTAAAGAGTCTGTCTGTTCATTAGAGAGATCGTTTCTGGGAAATTTTAATTTTCTAGTGATGCCTAATGATAGAAGTGGATGCAATTTAAAGTCTTAGTACACTCAATCAGATTATCCCCTTTTTGTTCACATGTAACTCACTAAAATAATAGAAATGTTACACTTAGACAAACAAAAATTAGCCAAGAAAAAAATCAGGAAAATAATGAATTTGAAAAAGAAAGTTGATCTATCTGAAAAAGAAATTTAAGTAGCTATACATCCAAACTCTGCTGCAACACACTCAGATAGGTATCTATAGGTCTCCTAGTGTGAAGAGAGGGTATGTACTACCTATGATTAAGAGCATGGGATTCCAAATCAGAAAGCCTTACCTTAAACCCCAGCCCCATCCTTCGTGTTTATGTATTGTCCATGAGACTTGTAATGTGTTAGTTCCTCTAAGCTTCAGTCTCCTCATCCATACACAATATTTAAAAATAACACCAATTTCATGAATTTGTGAGAATAGAAATTAATTTATAAAAAGTGGGTGGATGCCTGAAATATACAGGTTCAAACCTTATAACTATTATTGTTTAGCTATTGTTATTATTATTTTTATGGAGACAGGGTCTTGCTACGTTGCCCAGGCTGGTCTCGAACTCCTTCTTTCAAGCAATCCTCCCACCTTGGCCTCCCAAAGTACTGGGATAACAGGCATGAGCCATGGTGCCTGGTGTGACAATTACTATTATTAAGAAGGCCTGGTTCACTTGTAGAAATGCCCAAATAATTGGATATGTAGTCATATCCATACATTTTTAATGATATTCACATTTATTCAAATATATACAGGCACACGCATATATAACTTACTGTATACTACTATGCTTTAGTGACCAACCAATAGGCCTGAGTTTTAGGACCAGTAACACATCAGAATTCAAATTTATAGCAACCCACCTTCAAAGTTGAGGACCTTAAATACTACTTCTAGAAAAATACAGGCAGAGGGTAGGAAACTAGTTAGAGAATCCCATTATTTAGGGATTATAGTGTAAGCTACAGCAGTATAATACTGACATCTATCTAGATCATCGGATAAGTGGCCTTTTTCAACCTTATAATGCCTGAACCATGCTGAGGTCTGGCCTGCTTTTGTCCCATTTCCAGGCTAGTGGAAGACTGCCAACCAGACAGAATGGGATATTTGGTGGTCAGAACTTGGTGTTCTGGAATGTAGCAGTCTGTCTTCATTGCTCCATCAACAACTTGTCTCTGGATCCCTAGTGTCAGTAGTGAAAATAGGTCCCTCTACAAAGTCCAAGGTGGGTCCATGCACATGTAACTAAGAGTGCTTCCTCCCTTCTGGGGCAGGACTGTTGTTAGGCATGAGACAGCAGGTGGGGCCTTCATGCCCATGTCATAATCATAGCCCTGCAGCCCTGGATGCTGCTACAGAGACTTTCACCAAGCCCATGGCATCTGTAGAACTGGGTTCAAGTCTACTGAGGTTAGCAGTCTCCTCTCACAAACGGGACCACAGCCTGAGCCTTAGTAGAGGCTACAGTTCCTATGTAAGTGTTCTCCTCCATCTTTCTCTTTCTTCCTAACTGCTTCTACTGTTTGAGAACTCTCATCTTCAAGAAGATTATGTCAATCACTGATGAAAAAATCAAGCAGCTATCCTAAGGAAAAATACTATTCCAGCTAGGGCATGTGTTTGTTTTCCCTTGCCCAGAGCCTCTTACCCCACACAAGACCTTTAAAAGCCAACAAAAGTGTGTGGATCCCAACAACACCAATAAGGTACACTGATTTAGTGGTGCTACTGGCCCCACCTCCCACCCTCCCACATGGCACCTATTTTAGAGCATGCTTTGGTATACAGACTTCTTTGACTTGATTTTAAGGCCCCCATCTATTATCAGTCTCTATTTGAAAAAACCCTGAATCATGAACTTTTCCCTCTCCTTGTCTCCATCCTTTGCGAAATGAGACCCAGACATTTAAATTCCTCAAATAACATGCCCACAAATGTTAACATTCTACACAGAACAAAACAAGCAAAACTCAATTTCCCTCAATAAGTTCAGTATCCAAAACTAAAACAAACAAACAAAAAACCCCAGATTTTTTAAAAAGGCCATATAATGTCATAAGAGTCTTTGTTGGGGAAAAAAGAAAGAAAATTCAGTAAAAATTATTTATTACATTCAAGAGAAGACTAATGTCTACCATACTGCCAAACTATGTAACAACAGGCAGTTACCAGTTCTATTATAAGGGACATTTAACCCATAGCAAATCTAAATCAGCATAGTTAGGAGAAAAGTCATAATGTCATGCCATTGAATTTATTCAGTATCATTAAAACTCAGTAGGGAAAACAACAGGAGTTGTCACTCCTTAGAAAGTGAAACAAAGCACGTGGAAATATTGTGAGTAAACATCTTTACCTTAATTTAGACTTCAGTTTTCTCACTGTTTCCTTGACAGGTGTGCTTTGAGACGACGCTGGCAAAGAAGCAACTTTATCACTGCCACTCACACAAATTCTGTCTTTGCGTCCAGAACTTAGATTCACATCTTCCATCGGCACATTAAGCAACCTGAGGTTTATCATTTCAAAGTAGAAATCATGTTAGGTATTAACAATTTCAGAAACATTAATATACAAAAAAGAGTGAAATGTTCATATACAACAAATGAGAACAAAAACATATGTGTAATGCTAAAAACTGCCACCACTGTAGTTACATGAAACAAATTCTCAATTAGAAGAATTTATATTTATTCCAGTCACATATTTTTTCAAAGTTTTTAGGTAGTAACAACTAAGTAGAATTCGTAATAATTTATTTTTAACAGTAGTCATATACCACTTGTCTCTCATTTGCTGAAAGAGACTTTTGAAACCTGTTAAACTACTACAGAATATTTTTTGTAAGCCTCATGGTAACCATACAGCAGAAATCTACAATGGATATACTTAAAAAGCAACAAATTAAAACATACTGTAACCAAGTAGCCCCATTTTTCTAAGAAAAATAAAATGAGTTACTATTATTTTTTATTATTTCTTATTTTCTCTTTTCTCCATTTCCCCATTCCCCACTTCCTACATAGTCCTTTAGAAATGCAATTAAAACCTTTTACCTCCCCTTCACTAGAAACTTCCTAGAGGGCAAGTTCATCTAACTGTATGCTTAGAAGCTGGGTGGAACTTCCAGCCACCAGGAGACTGCCTCCAGAGATAACAGTTGATTTACAATCCAAAATCCCACTACGAAACTCTCCCCCACCTAGAAAGTTTCCAGGCACCTTTAAAACCTATTTCTGCCCATGAAATGCTAACTCTACTGCCCAGTAGATAAGGCACCAAGCTAGCATGGGGACCCACCCACCTGCTCACCTCCTCCCCTGAGGTGCCATTCATGATAGGCCCCCTTTAAAAGTGTCCACTTTCTGCTCCAAAGGTGAAGTGGTACCCTGAAGGCAGTAAGCCTGTACTTCTTCCCCTAAGCTAGCTTTGGAATAAAAAGTAACTTTCTTTACACCAGACCTAGCTTTTGTTAATTAGACTGTAAGCAGCGGGCAAGTGAACCTGCAATGTGGTTACAATACAGAAAAAAATCACTTAACCACGAATGCAAGAGACTTTTAAACTAAAGTTTATTTTAGCCTGAGAGAAAAGCACAGAAATCAAACAAAAAAAGAACCAAGTCAGTTGAGAGAAATACTTAGTCATGACCTGGAAGAGGAAGAAGAATGTTCAGAGCTACTGGGGTGGAGTGAACAGGAAGCAAATGGAAAGAGATGAGATGAGCGAGGTCAGTGTTGGGATCACAGGGCATCGTGGGCATGGGGAGGGAACTAGAGTTTCCTTTAAGCAGAGTGGGCACTACCATTGGAAGTTTTCAGGCATGGGAACGAGGTGATCTGATGCAGGTTTTAAAAAGATACATGGCTGCAGCATGAAAAATAACTCACGGTAAGGATGTGCAGTTTGTTGATGAGACGAAAGCTTTCAGTATCATAGGGAACAAAAAGTACAAGAGTCTGGGGGCAGTACAACATGGGAAATGAAGCTGGGGAGGGCGAGTAGGGGTCAGATCATGACGGGTTTTGTTTGTCAAGTAATAAAAAGATTTTTTTTTGTAATCCTTTCATGCTGATGTCCATAAATTAAGATCACAGCTCCAGAGACTTTTACATGTTTATAAGATGAGGATCTTTTAAAATTGGATAACAGTTTATATCAAATGGAATGTGCTTCTACTGTCAACAGCTCTTTGGCATTAATTATACTGTCTAACTTCAGCTGATTTTTTTGAGATTAAGAACATTATATAAACTAATGCTTAATTGCCTGTTAAAGAATACTTACACAACGTCTGAATGCTCATTAGTTATAACCTCCTGTATGCTGACATTTTATTAAAGAAGTCTTTTTCTTTAACCATTTTAGGGATGTTAAAGATTCATTCATGTTGGCATTGAGGTTGAAGGGTAAAAAGTACTATACTAGAGCACAGGAGATTCCTCTCTAAACCTCTGTTTCTTGTTCTGTTGAATAATAATAGGGCCTACTTCATAGAGTTATACTGAGGATATACAAAGAATGTAGCTCAATGTTTAGTGTAAGTGTTCAGTAAATAATACCTATTATTGTTGTTATGATCATCTTTATCATCACCATCATTCATAACGCATTTGATAAGTTTCTTCCATTAAGATTATTTTTCCCTAGAAGAAAACCTAGGCAATACCATTCAGGACATAGGCATGGGCAAGGACTTCATGACTAAAACTCCAAAAGCAATGGCAACAAAAGCCAAAATTGACAAATGGGATCTAATTAAACTAAAGAGCTTCTGCACAGCAAAAGAAACTACCATCAGAGCGAACAGGCAACCTATAGAATGGGAGAAAATTTTTGCAATCTATCCATCTGACAAAGGACTAATATCCAGCATCTACAAAGAACTTAAACAAATGTACAAGAAAAAAACAACCCATCAAAAAGTGGGCAAAGGATATGAACAGACACTTCTTAAAAGAAGACATTTATGCAGCCAACAGACATGTGAAAAGATGCTCATCATCACAGGTCCTCAGAGAAATGCAAATCAAAACCACAATGAGATACCATCTCACACCAGTTAGAATGGCGACCATTAAAAAGTCAGGAAACAACAGGTGCTGGAGAGGATGTGGAGAAATAGGAACACTTTTACACTGTTGGTGGGACTGTAAACTAGTTCAACCATTGTGGAAGACAGTGCGGCGATACCTCAAGGATCTAGAACTAAAAATACCATTTGACCCAGCAATCCCATTATTGGGTACATACCCAAAGGATTATAAATCATGCTACTATAAAGATACATGTACACGTATGCTTATCACGTCACTATTCACAATACCAGAAACTTGGAACCAACCCAAATGTCCATCAATGATAGACTGGATTAAGAAAATGTGGTACATAGATACCATGGAATACTAGGCAGCCATAAAAAAAGATGAGTTCATGTTCTTTGCAGGGACATGGATGAAGCTGGAAACCATCATTCTGAACAAACTGTCACAAGGACAGAAAACCAAACACCGCATGTTCTCACTCATAGGTGGGAAGTGAACAATGAGAACACATGTACACAGGGTGGGGAACATCACACACCGGGGCCTGTAGTGGGATTGGGAGGCAGGGGAGGGATAGCATTAGGAGAAATACCTAATATAAATGACGAGTTAACGGGTGCAGCAAACCAGCATGGCACATGTATACCTATGTAACAAACCTGCACGTTGTGCACATGTACTTTAGAAGTTAAAGTCTAAAAAAAAAAAAAAAAATCACCCAGATCAAGTTATGGGACATTTCACCCAAGAAGTCGTTAAAGCACCTTTCCAGTCAATCCTCACCCCATTCTCACTCTGGCAATCACCATTCTGATTTCTATCTCCATGGATTATTTTTGCTGCCTCTTGAAATTCACATAAAGGAATATACTGATTTTGACTTTTCTTATTGCAAAAAAAGATTGTTTTTTGTGGATTGTTTCTAACATTCATATTGTGTTTACAAGTCAACAGTGATTACAAAAAAACCAACAATCTCATAAAGACCAAAAAGTATTGCATGAAATAATATATACATGCATATACACACTCACATACACACAAAGTGTTTTAGTTTGTTTTTGGATGAATTTTAAATTGTAAAGCAAATTTTCATAAACAATTCTAAGTCAAAGTATCAGCCATGAGAAGGCCTGGCAACAGCACTGGGGAAAAAAATTATGTCACTTATTTAATCAACAAATATTACTGAGTGCCAAATATGAGTCAGTGTCATTCTGGATATTAGAGACACAGGGATAATAGCAAGACAGTCCCTACTCTCAAGGAGTGCATTGGCATCTAGTGAAAAATAGAGAAAATAAGCAAGCTACAATTAAAAAATGGTAAAAAGAAATAGGTGGTAAAGGGGATACTTTAAAATAGTAACATACTTTTTGAAAAAAATAAAACAGGATGATAAAAGTGTGGCTTATCAGAAATGGGATGGGCTACTTTAGATGGAGTTGTCAGAGAAGATCTTTCAAAAGCTTAGAATTATGAAGAAGACAAGAAGGCCTCTGTCCTTTAGGAGCCTGTATGCAATGGGAAGACAGAGATTCAAACAGATAACTTCATTTGACTGTGATCACTGCTCACCACTGCATGTCAGAACACAGAATTTAACAAATAACTACTGAACGAATTACAATACAATCTCAACATTGCAACCGTGCCTCTGTGAATACCTGAGTTTGCTGAGGAGAGTCAAGAAGACCCTAAAGAAGGGAAAACTTGAACTAAGACTTAAATGAAAGGGTAACACACTGGCATATGAGTTGCTGAGGCATTCAAGTAAAGGAAGTGGTACAGACAAAGGGATGAGATGTGATAAAACAGAACTACTAGTAATTTAGAACCTTTGGGAAGCAAAGTGGGGGCTAAAAGTAGAGGCAGTAGAGAAGAGGATTTGTGCCATGCTAAGGAGTTTGTAACTTACCTTAAAAGTAGTGGGGGCTGAAAAGGCTTTGGAGTAGAAGAGTAAGGTGATGAGGTATGAGTGCTGGATTGACTCACTACCCTGTCAGCAAGTGCAGGGAAATAAAAGCCCCTCTCCGTTTTTTCTTGCTCTTAATTCAATGTGCTCCTATGCAAAGAGCACAGGATTTGGATTCAGAGAAACTGGGTCTGAACGCCTGGAAAGCAGCTTAGGTTTGTAACAGAGGATAAGGGTTTGCTTCTTTGAAAACATTCTTTTAATTCTATTGGATATCTAAAACATTCAGCTGATTTCATTTTAAAAGTGATAAAATTCTTATGTCAAGAAAATTCTAGCATGCAATGATTATAATTACATGTATGTATGACAATAAGATAATGAACCACAGGGGAAAAAAATCAGTTAATGATTTCATAATCATACCTTGTATATGTGTGACATTTTCAGTTCTTTGACTACATTAAAGTAATTTGAATTGGTTACTTGCTGTGGGTAGGAAGTTAAGCCAGCTCCATTTCATTATTTCCAACTCTTCACGAAAGAAATGAAAAGGTTTGGGGGAAAGGTGTATTGCTAATTCTTTCATATCTCTGTTGTAAAATTTGGTTCCATTCTTGATTGCTTTTGTTGCTATTATTTTCTTTCTTCTTGTATTTAAACATTGATAATTACTTTTCAGCAGTATAATTGCACTCACTTGGAATTTGTATAATTGTAGTACACTCACCTTTTCCAGCTAGGTAATGAAGAGCTTCTTTTCATTGCTAGAACATCATTGCACAGCTCCTGTTTTTCTTCAAAAGAACATAGACAAACAATCGCATTTGGATGATCACACAATAAACTGAACCAAAAGAAATGTTAGCGGTTCATTACCTACCTCTGTATAATATGGATTTGTATTCAAACATCCATTTATAAAACTGTACCAATTGTGAGGAGATTTATAATATGTTCTTAAGGTAGTTTATAATGTTTCAAAATAAAGTTTATGTAGTATAGACAGTTATCCAACAGACTCTGTAACTCTTTTTTGATAATTTTTAAATTGACATTTTTTACCAGAGCCTGGAGTACTGATCAGAACTTTTGATTCCCTGCTTTCGCCAGCCTCTACCAAGACAACCATCTTCCCCCTACCATCCCACTCTCTCCTATTTGGGGTTCAGGTTCAAAGACATTCTGACAGATCCTAATACAAAATGTGTCGCCAGTAGGAAGGTGAACTTTAAAGCGGGAAGAGACCTAGAGTCATTTAGTTAGTCTCCTCATTCAGAGGACCTCAGAATTATAGGTTCACAGAGTTTGGTGATTTATTTCCAGTTCACGGCAAAGCAGAAATTCTATGATCCACTTGGATTGTTCTAAGAGTGTCTTGGGGACAGTATAAGCAATGAGTCAATGTGTCCGTCTTCCATGTAGAAGTCTTTATTGTAACTGTCTAGATATCTTGTTCCACTAAGTAAACCTTTACCAACAAGTTTAGGGTTATTGAAGGCTAAGTAGCAGAGGACATCAACAAGCAAAGTTCTAGATGGTGGGTAAATGGCTGAGGATCTGCCTGACCCTTTTAAGGAAAAAGAATGAATGGACAGATATTTTCCACCCATGCTGCAGGCACCATTGGTTTTACTCACTGACTTGCAATGCAAAGTGAAAATTTTTAACCCAACAGCTAACTAATTCAAAATAACAGTCATTTGAAAACATTTCACAATTTGTTCCTGCCAAACCTAGGAAGAGTATTTAAAATTAAATACTAATTTTAGGATAAAATTACATTAGCAATTTTTCTAGTACAATTTGGAAATCCAACAGAACCATACTTGAAGGCACAGTAGTAGTTTGAACTGTCTATAAAAGATTGGCTTTAAAATTAAGACACCCTTACAAAAGAAATCCTGATGGTGGAATTGCAAATTATTGTAATTAAGATGAAAAAGAAAAAGTGTGATTTCTTAGGGACCTCACTAATGGGCTCAAACATAAAGTTGTGAATGAATAGCTGGTTAGGTTACCTAAGCAACAAAGTATGAAGGAAGGAAAAACATGCCACCAAAAGAGAACATAAAACCATGACATGGATTGATAAAAAAAAGGATTAGGAATGATGAAAACAAATGAGCTGAGACTAAGATCTTTGAAAGTTATTTCAAAATAAGACAAAGACAATGAAAATAATGGATGTGCTTCTTGGGTCCCATGGTATAATATCAAAATAAAAAGATAATGGCGTAATAATATTAGAATGCATAATAAAAGAATTACAGTAATAACAATGAACACTAAGAAAATAAAACATTTTGAATCCAGTTTGTTTTCAGCTTCTCTATCCAGGAAATTATTACTGGATTGAATATTATAAGATGGCAACTTCATGCCTTAAATAAGTTCAAGTCTTTTACCTGAGACACATTACATCGCCTGGACATGAAGAAACTATTTAATAAACGTGTTTATTGAACTACTTTTAGGGACCTCAGAAGAATCATGAAAAGCAAAAAGTTACTAAAAGATGAAAACACGGGAACTGTCATCATCATAATTTTCAAAACAGATTTTGAAAAGTATTGACTTGATTTCCATCCTAATCAACATTAGAATGAGAATTCAAGACAGAGAGTGGCGTAAGTCTATGGAAATTTCAGGCAGCGTGGCAGTGCTGGGGACGCTGTCCTCAGTCAGAAAGTGTCTCTCTGCTCTGCCAAAACACACAATGTTGGCAGCTCACCCTCTCTCTACTCCTGTCACTTCTAGAACAACAAACTTAATTTTTTAAAATCCAAGTTGCTGACAAACTTCTGATCTATATATTAGGCTGTCAAGCCATATTGAAAACGTCTCAAACATTATAGCTAATATATATATACGTGAGCTGATTTTTTTTACCTTGGTTTATCAGAGGAATTTCCTTTTTTTCTTGTTTCAGTGAAGCATCAGTGTTGCTTTTATCTGAAACCTGAAAAATAAGCTCTTTATTTAAAACTGTACAGAAACATAGGACATATTATAAACCTGATAAAAGACCTTGAAAAGCAGTGTCCCCAGCAGAAAAGAGATCATAATGTTAGCAGCAATGCACTTGTTATAAAGGGAACAAATGGTACATGTACAAAACAATAATGGCATAAATCTCAAGGATGATTGCATTATCATAGTCATGTTTACTCATTTGATTTCTTTAAAGGGATTTTTGTATTTCTACTAATATTTGTGCAGGTATTTAAAAATTGATATTACACATGGAGGTAATAATGTCTACAACAAATGGGTCAAGTATTTGATTCACCAGAAACAACCATTGAGCCTCTATTGTTTTGAAGAAGCTTAGGGTACCTCTGGTTGCTGCAAAGCAGACAGAGTAGGAGTTCAGCATCTGTGCAATGAAAACTTTGGAGAGTTTGGGGCTGGGGCCTGTAGTTCCAAAGTGTAATAGATAAGGAGATGGAGATGGGGAGTTGACCTGGAATACTGGGGGATGGGGTATCTCATCTTCTGACAGAATCCCAGGCAAGTTGCCTGAAAGGAGCTGTAGAGCCTTAGTGTGTTGATTGCTGGAGCCAAGAGGGTTACTGGCACCTGGAGAGAGAGGATGGATATGTGTTCGTGTGCGATTGGGAGGCTGAGAGGGTGGGAGTGGATAGGGGACATTTGAGGGGTGGAGTGCACCATTCATAAGCCAGGTCTATGATCACTTTGGGAATTCTGTTAAGATCCATTTTACAAGGCTCACATAAAGCTGACTTACACTTTGGGAATATACCCTAGATGAGAGACAGAGAAAGAGAGAGAGAATGTGTCTGTTTATGCCTTCGGGAAAAGACAACCAGAATGCTCCCTCTATGTATTTTGTAAATCTGTGAGAAGGTAGAGGAACAGGCAGTTATGAAAGAAAGAAAGCAAGCAGAAGGCAAAAGCTCCTGTCTGCTCCTTGTTCTGAAGACCCCTAAACACACACTGATACACACACAACCACGTCCCCATCTGCAGGGAGCTGTCAGTTTTTTTCAAGTTTGCTCATTGTAGATGTATCTTTCATCTTTCATGCCCCCTCCAACCTGCTAAACAAATGTGGTCTAGAGAGGATGTCAACTCGCTTTTTTCCCCCCCTCCCAGGAAACAAAGGAGTATTTTTACATAGCATTCTGGAAACTGTGCTCTCTCAGGAAGCAGGTTAAATGGGCACACACGTAGCCTAGCAACACAATAACTGTGCAGCTGTCTATCATTGCCATTTTCCATTTCACCTAAATCAAGAGCAAGAAAAGCCTTATGGATAAGGGGGAAAGAAATAAGACTACTTATAAGCTACTTTTGTCTATTTCAAAAAATTTTTGTACTTAAACTGTAAATAAGTGACTGCCCCAGGAAGTAATCAAAACGCATATTTTTTAAAGATTCATTTTGCAAACCATCTTGAAAGTGACCTTAAAGTCTATGCTTTATTTACTTCTGATCAACATAAAATTTAAAGTTTTTTTCTGACGCGCTGATATATAAGGAAAATCTACATGATATTAAGTGTCTCCAACTTTGGACTAAAGATTTTTCGGACCAGTTTATAAGCAGCAGCATAGACTATTATCAACAATAGCTAATAGGAACCACAAGATAGGCTTATGAGAAGAACTACTTAATGCGTTTCATTATAAGCACTTTGTTATAATCCAAGATGATTATATCAAAACGTGTTAATTTTCTTGGTAACTTTCTTTTATGATAAAATCAGACAAGATGAAAGTATCCAAGGTTAACAAAAATGACAGCACTCCCAGAAAAGAAATTTTGTTGTTGGTGTTATTAACACAGCCTCATGAAATTAATTATGTTTGTATTCTATTGTTTAGTTCTCTGCTTTGAGCTCTGAAGGGCTGTTTTTTCTAGGATCAGATATGCCCTCTTACCCCAAAAATGTTACTTGTACAAAGCTCTGCCATCTCTATAACATGAAAAATTTCTTTTCTTTTCCTTTGTTGTATTATCTTTATTCTAATGTTTAAAAGATTTTTGGATAAATGATTTAAAGCCTACAGTATTTTCTTTGAAATAACATTGTGTAAATCTGATTTTATAGGATGCTACCTTCTGTTACAATATAGTTGAGAATCTGAATTTTTTCAAGATGAGACAAGAAAACACACAGCTGTTTTTTCAATTACATTGCTTGTATATTTGATCTTACTTACAAAGGTCTTTCATTTACATTAATTGGTTTCCTTATAGAAATGTTCTTCAGTCACTTAGGCTTAACTGTGTCTCATATTCTGAAGCTGGAGGAAACCTCTTGCCTGAGATTTTTACCTATATCATGAAATAGACAACACCTCACACAAAGTAAGTGAGATTATAGTTAAGTCCTAACATAGAGTTTAAGACACCTTAATTAAAAGTATGTTAACAATGAGCAGGGTGGGATTTGTCAGTTCTCCAAGGGATGCAATGGATCAACATAATACTGCATGCTCAATTTTGTAAAGTATCTACTTAAGAAGATAAATAAATCATAAATAAGTCAGATGAAAAAAAGAACACACCACAGGCAGCTGTGCAACACCTACTTAATTTCATTGCTGTTAAGGAAACTTAAAAACTGGGTAATATCACTTTATCTGATTTCTTTACTTCTACTCCTTTACCCCTCCACGCCTACTTCAAGCACTTATTATGAAGGAGCCATAAGGGCTATAAGACCAGTAAATACCTTTCGGCCAACTTCAAAGACCCCTTCTGTTTGCACTCATCCGCAGTTAACATTATGTTCCAGGCCCTCCCCTTCACTCAGTAATTTATTCACTAACATTGGGTTTCTAGTGTGGGCCAGAAAGTATTACAGCGAAAAGGTCAAAGTCCTGCTGATATGGTTTGGCTGTGTCCCCACCCAAATCTCATCTTGAATTGTAGCTCCCATAATCCCATAATCCCATAATTCCATAATCCCATAATCCCGTAACAGGGGGGACCTAGTGGGAGGTAACTGAATCATGGGGGTGGGTTTTTCCTGTGCTGTTCTTGTGATAGTGAGTAACTCTCATGAGATCTGATGGTTTTATAAAGGGCAGATTTTCTGGAGGCCAAAAGTAAAGCAACAACAGCTCATGGAAGGGGTTGGTGGTAAAGTTATGACCACAACCATATTGCTAGAGTAATAATCTTGGACAAGAGAAATACTTTCTTTTTTAGAAGCTAGGAACTAGTGGAGACCCCAAGAAGATGAGCCTCATGACTATGACTGGACTCTAGCTTGACTAGAAGGACAAAAGCTGGGTCTTAGAAGAAAAGAACTATTAACACATTGTTTAGGTCAGATTTAGGGTGAATACAGAGAGAAATGGGCTTAAGAGAGCTTAATCTGGGCAAGGCATGGATGATGGATTGGTCTTTTAAAATTGATTCAAGATACTTGGCTGGAGAGGCCCATCTAAAAAACTTTGGAAACACAAGCCAAAATGCTGAATGTTAGCCAGTGCAATATATAGGTAGACCTTGAAACTCTCATGACTGAGTAAAGTATATTTATGTACTTCAACTGACCCAAGTGGAATGGGCTGATTGAATGGATGTAGGGGACAGTTATGAAGGTGGGAGGTAAAGGGAGATGTCACATGAAGAGTGATTACACAAGGAGGAGCAAAGTCTAAAAGCTGGGGCTCAAGGTGCCCACCTCCTGGCAGTGTGACCTTTAGTGAGTTTAATTTTCCCCATCTGTGAAATAGGGGTGAAAAGAATACTTGCCTCTCAGGCTATGAAGAGGTGACATGAGATGATGGAAGAACAGTACCTGAATTTCATCATGGCCACACAGAAAGAGAAAAGACCGACTCTACTAGAATACACATGCCTGTGCGTGCACACACACACATGAATTTCTGGACAATTCAGCTTTACAGGGTCAGAGATAACAAATATGGACCACCCCAGCTACCCTAAAATGGTGGAGAGGGCTGTAGCTGTGCTAACAAGATTATGAAAAACAAGAAGTTTGCTGAAACGCAGAGTCCCATACCAAATATCTCCGAAGGAGAGGCTATCTAGAGCATTTGGAAGAGGATTAAGATTTTTTAAAGAAAAACTCCTCATTATTTTCCTGGCAGTTTTTTTAATCTCCAGAAAATGCCTGGAGCTTTAACCAAATCCCAGTTGGAAACTTCTACAGCTCCAAATGATGTGCAAGGTCTTGCCAAGAACACGCTCATTGCATGGACTTTGAAATGAATGGCCCACACTGGCTAAAAGGCCAAGCATAAATATCAGAAAGAAAAAATGTGGTCAGACGTGGTGGCTGGCACATGTAATCCCAGCACTCTGGGAGGCCGAGGCGGGCGGATCTTGATGTCAGGAGATCGAGACCATCCTGGGTAACACAGTGAAACCCCACCTCGACTAAAAATACAAAAATTAGCTGGGCGTGGTTGTGGGTGCCTTTAGTCCCAGTTACTTGGGAGGCCAAGGCAGGAGAATGGTGTGAACCTGGGAGGCGGAGCTTGCAGTGAGCTGAGATTGCGCCACTGCACTCCAGCCTGGGCGACAGGGTGAGACTCTGTCTCAAAAAAAAAAAAAAAAAAAAAAGAAAAGAAAAAGAAAAAATGCTGTGGAAGCAATACCAACAAAGAATATGAGCAGAAGTAACTAGAGATGTGACAAATGAAGCTTCATACCACAGGAATGATTTGGAGCATGTTAAATGGGAGGCATGGTGCAGAACCAAGTGCCAGACATTAGAAATGATCAGAAAATAAGGATTGTCCCCACTGGGAAAAGAGGAAACAAGAAGAATGTGGTTTTTAAAAATTACTTCAATAAGGCTGGGCATGGGGATCATGCCTGTAATCCCACCACTTTGGGAGGCCAAGGTGGGTGGATTACTTAAGGCCAGCAGTTCGGGCCAGCCTGGCCAAGACGGCAAAACCCCATCTCTATCAAAAATACAAAAATTAGCTGGATGTGGTGGCACACGTAATTCCAGCTACTCGGGAGGATGAGGCAACAGAACCACCTGCAGTGAGTGGAGATTGTGCCACTGCACTCCAGCCTGGGCGACACAGGGAGACTCTGTCTCAAAAAAATTTTAAAGGTAAAATAAAAAAATAAAGAATTGCTTCAATAGGCCACAGGCCTTAGAATAAAAGTAATAAGAAGAACATTCAATCAAGAATTGAGGGGCTCAGTGGTGGTAGGGAGAGAAGAAGTTAGGAAAACAAATAAAACATAACAGTAAGCCACAGCAGTGAGGTAATTTTGGAGAATGAACGATCAGATGGCTGAAATAATCAGCAACAGTAGGGTTAAATATGAATCTGGAAAGTAACAAATACTTTTGTCATTTCACTTGAAATTGCATAACTATAAGTACAAGAACCAGAGTGAGATGTTGCCTGAAACATGGAACAAAGAAAAATAAAGTGCCTTAATATGAAAAAAAAAAACCATTTCAAAAGGCAGACTGATAGACATTTATTAATTTTATTAACATAGCAAAAACAAATCTGCCAGTCAGAATGGAGTTATTTTCCTGAAAGCATGAAAAAAACAGTTATAGGAGCACAGGCAGGAATAAGGCAAAGGTTCCCAGAGTCAGTGCTCTTTTAGTATTATAGTTGCATTGGTAACATCATCTGCGTCGTGTCTGTTGGGGAGGTGGACACAGCAGGCTGTCTTAGCTGGACGCCTTTTAAATATTCAGGCACCCAGCTCACCAGCAACTGTCAGATTATAATTGGCCAGTCCATGCAGATGGGCATAATGGGACAGAATGCATAGCTTAAGTCAATATGTGCCTTCCGATTGAACTGAGGCTGTATTTATCTTTTAAATAACTAAACTGATATTATGCTATAATACAACAGTTTTATGAATTTGGATAATGTGAAGTCATCCCTGTGAGATGAAGTTTCTTTGGTGTGCTGAATATACTATATTTCTTAGTTTTCTTAGTTTCTTATACCTAAAATAAGACCCTGGGTCCCACATCTAGTAAATTTGCCAAAATAATAAATGCCACATTTAGGGGTCAGGGGAGGGAGTCTTTTGTGGTAGCTAATTATTCTTTCTTAAGTGACAACTTCCTGCACCACCATTAGCACTGAGTGCCTTCCTTCTTGAAATTTAATAGACACAGGGGCACACACACACTCACACATGCACACAGATACACGCTATAATTAGAAGATAACTAGGAAGGAGCACGGGGGATGGGATGATCTTTTTTTAATTTCTAGGTTTAAGAAAGTACAGACAGACAACATTGAGGAGCAATTATTTCCTACTTGCATTATTGCAACTCCAGCCAAACAGAAATTAATGTGCATCTCTGGATAATATGTGTTTATCCAAGTTAATTAGACACCATGAGTATGAAAACAGACATCTTGCTAGGATCACAGAGACACAAATCATACCACATAGCTACACACAGTAATATAAGAACTTGAGAACTACTACCTAAAAAGTCAATATTTTAAATATAAATGCCATCTCTAATTCATGAAAAGGCACTTGCCAAAAGCTCTGTGCAGAGCTGAGAGAGGTGACAAAGTAAAGGCTACATGAAAACTCACACAGACTTTGAAACTTCTGAAAAGCAAGTGGTGAATAGTAATATTCACAGGTACAACTATATTACATTTTGCTTTGAAGAGGTCAAGAAAGGTGGCATTATTTACAACATCAGTTGCAGTTTTGTCTTTCTTTCTAGCCTCTGATTAAATTTTGACCCTTTTCCTTTTGAAAATACTTTGGTGTTTACTTTTTTCATTTAGTTGTTCTTCACTGTTAATAGTGAGGCTATTTCTGTTCCCATTCACAAATCATGTCTATACCTTTTTAACATCCCTTTAAATGGCTTCTTCAAATGATTACAATTTATGGATGAAATGATATGATGTCTGGGAGTAATGGGGGCAGGGAGGGGATATGGATGAAACAACAATGGCCATGAGTTGCTAACCACTGGAGCCGGGAAATGGGCACATTTCCCATGGTTGCACTATGTTTAAAATTTTCCAAAATGAAACAACTTTTAAATAAAACCTTCATTATAGTTATGTCATGTACCTTGTGACAATAATTTTCTGGTGAAGGACATTATCATAAATTAAGCTAAAGTCAGAAGAAGTGATATGTCTCTCATTGGCACAAGTGCAATTTAAACCTAATCCACAATTCTACATAGCATTTTGAGGGACCTTACCCTAAAGACATGTCCAAAGAGGCCATGTCCTTTTCTAAATACTCTCACTTATCATGTCAAAAATAGAACCATCCAGGCTACTGTAGTTGCTCTTACGCAGGTTCAAGTTTAGCTATAAGCTTCTTGGCAATCAAGGTAAAAAGGAAACTATAATGAGTAATAAAATTTATATTCAGATAAAAGAAAACATCAGATTTTTTCCCTGACATTAAATTCTCATGTGTCAATTACTTTTAGTGATTTTTTTAACAGAAAGGACACTATATAACATAATGAACACCATGGCTTCACAGATGAAACATTTCTCATATAGTAAGTCCTTGAATCATTTCTTCCTAAACACCAAGGGCTTTTTACGTTTGCTTTAGTGAAGGCAAAGCAACTCGATTCTACAGGAGCCCAGACAGGTCCTCCTTGATATCAACTATCAAGTTAGAAATAGGAACACATTATTTTCCTATAAGGAGAAAATGGGGAGCATGCCCATAATCCTTGAACAGACTTTTCTCTGCCTAATTTAAGTCAATTCAGAAGTAAACCTTCTGGTGAGAGTCCAAATTACAAATTATAGAAAGGATCATATTCTTCAGATTTGGGAATGAGTTTTCACAATGACCTTCAAGTTATATATATAACTTTTGTAAATTTTTGTATATTTACATATATATTAAGGCTTTCTTAGCCTGATAACTAAAACAGAAAGGGGCCGTGGATTAGGGGTGGAGATGCGTAAGTTCCAGATGTATCTCTACTAGTTTATGTAGCCTTGAGCAAGTAACTTAAACTTTTCTGAGTCTTATTTCTTCATCTAAAAACTAGGTTATCCAACTAAATGTTTCCATTACTTTGAGGCACTAACAGATCCCTCTAACCTTTGTGAATATGAAAATGTCAAGGTGTCATTTAGTGTGTAGTTTATCTCACCAGGATAATATCTGAATCACTCTTGCTGTTGTCATCTTCAATCAACACCTTACATTCCTCTACAAAGTTCAGACTCTGCTTCTTTTTCATTTCCCAAAAAGCGGCCTATACCAAGGAATTAACAACAAAAAAAAAAATACAAGGATTAGTTGCAATCAATGGTACCATTAAGCTACCTTCACTCTTCATTCTGCCTCTACATACTGTAGACTTTTGTAGGATATATAGCGAAAATTCAATTTCTGATCTTTGCATATGATAAGCATGTGGTAAGATTTACTCAGAGCATATCTGCCTTCTTAATTGATGCTTAGGTTAATATTAAAATTAATTATATTTCCTGAACCTTCTCTGTTGGTGGTAATGCCTAGTGTGTTTATTGGACAGGATATTAGAAATTTACTACAAATAATCCTCGAGTAATCAAACGTTGTTTCAATTACAGTTTAAAACCTGATTAAATTAATTTTTCAAGTGCTTATAAAGAATTTCACAATCTCCTGATTTATCCAGGAGAAAATGGGGATTTCTAGATTTTCTTAAATATATAATATCTTCTGGAATGAAATTAGATTATCTTTCTATTTTTGTTTGTTTGTTTGTTTGTTTGTTTGTTTGTTTTGAGACGGAGTCTTGCTCTGTCACCCAGGCTGGAGTGCAGTAGTGCGAACTTGGCTCACAGCAACCTCCGCCTTCCAGTTTCAAGCGATTATCCTACCTCAGTCTCCCGAGCAGCTGAGATTACAGGTGCCCACCACCATGCCTGGGAAATTAGCTTATTTTTCTAAGAGCTGATATGCAATCTGTCTCCATTTCTTCATCTTCCACTTAGCGGTAAATTCATTACTTTTAATGGCAAAAACAGCAATTACTTTTGCATGAATCTATAATCTGGTTTCTACCCTTTCTACTCCAACAACAAAAATATTCCTGAGATCATCCCTCTTACCTCTAAATCATTAAGTCAACAGACAATTTTTAGGTCTTTGGCCAGTTGAGATGGTTTCTCAACAGAATTCAGCCTCCGTGACAGTCTCTCTTCAAATCACCCTTTTCCTCCATTTTGGTTTTAATGAAACAGTAAATTCCTGGTTTCTTCTCTTACTGCTCTGGCAATTCCTTCACAATCATCTGTGCACAGCTGTACTCTCGTAGCTAGCCACAAAATGCTAAAATTCTGCAAGTTTCTGTCTAGTCCTTCTTTTCTTCTTACCCATTCAACCTCATTCATCCTTAGGCATGTAAATACCTCACAAGACTGTCTCCTATTTAAACTTCACCTCTGAAATCCAGACTTATGTTTATGACTTTTCACTTGGCACATCCTCTTGGAAGTCTCAAACTATGTAAGCTGAACTCATGCTGTTCTCCAGAAGCCCAGTCACCTTCTACAATGACCAATTTCAATTAATGGAATCACCATTCAACCTGGTGAAAGAGCTCAAAATTCTGTAGTCATTCTGCCGTTTTCCTCTACATGATCCTCTATATCCAATAAAGGCAGCCCCCAGGAAAGGGCAGTGTTACCTCCTCCATCACCATCATCCTAGCCTACACCACTGTGATCTCTCCAACAGAGCACAGTCAAGTCTCCTAACTGCTCTGCCCACATTCACTTTTGTTAAGCATTATCTGTGAAACAGAAACACCATGTACTGGTTATCAGTTCCAGAGGAGGAGTCTCAAAACTTCTGCCTATAGTATCTTGCTTATTGGAGTTGCCAAAGAAAACACAATGCAGTCAGGCACTAGATGGAACAATACTTTACTCACATAGAGAAGAGCAAGATCAGCCTCAGAAGTATGTATCAGTCCCCCATGCCCAGCAGGCTCCCCCATCAGCTAATGCTAGGCAATTGGCTACATGCACCCTTCTCATACTACAGGAGAAAGATGCTGTGTTCCCTCCCTAAGGAAGACAGATATAGCAGTGGGGTTGACCAAGGTTTCATGTGACACACACATTTAAGTAGAACAAAAGAGCATACACTGGACTTGCAACAGAGAAAATATTTCCATACGAGGCAATAAACCCAGCATAGGCCATGTGTGGTCTTCATCTCTTGGTAAGAGAATGGCTCAAGGTCCATTCTTATGCAGCAAGGTGGAGGCCAAAATGCTGTACCCCTGAGACTGTCTTTCCCAACAACTCTGCTCTCTACTAACCTTTCTTCTATACTCAGCCAACGCAATCTTCACTAAAGAAAACTCTGGTCATGTCACTTCCCTGCTTGAAACTCTTCAATGGTTTCCCATTACTTACAGGATAAATGCAAAACCCCTTATGGGTAGCCTATAGGACCTGCCCTACTCCTTCACACCACAGTCCCTTTCCATCTCTTTTCCCTGCCATAGATTACTTGTCTTTTTAAAGTTCTTCATATTCACCATGTTTCCTCTTTTTCCATTGCTTAGAAGTGCTTTTCCTTCCCTTTTACCAATGTAATTACATTTCAATCCTAAAAGGCTAGTTACCATATTTTCTGGGAAGATGTTCCTGTCCTACCAGAATCAAAAACCCTTATTATAAACACTCATGCTACTGTGTCATAAAAACTGCCATAGTAGCAGTTGACGTTTGTCTCTGTAATTATTGGGTGTCTGTCTCTATCACTAGACTGTAAGTTTGATGGTGGCAGAAACCATATGTGGTTTTATTCCTAAATCTCCTGTGACTGGCATACTGAATAGCACATAGTAAAATTATACATATACAGACACATCTATGTATATACTGGTATAAGTATATATATCTACATGAAGTGTGTGTATATTGCTTCATATAGCTTTACATATTATATGTTTATGCACACACACATGCACGTGCATACTGAGTCCCTGTATTTAATGTGTAAAATGTTTTGTTCTAACACTTGGACACACTCTCAACTTCTCAATGGACTGTATGTTTTTAGAGCATGTAACATATCTATACAATAAACTGACAAACCCTAAATCTTGAAATTGCACAGCTAATGAGTCTTTCTGGAATTCTGAGTTAAAAGAGGTATGATTATAAAGTGATAACATGCAGGAGTTCGAACACAGCAAGGGTTGAATATCTGCTGAATATATAAAATGTTACATTCAAGTACAATACATAATTCAAATCAACAAAAAACTTGAAATTCTGTAGGTTGTAAACAGATTCAGCTTGGCTCATATAGTCTCAAGAAAAGATTTGGGCCAAAATTTCAAAATTATAGGAAAATGGACTTGAAATACTTTAAGAGGATGAGCTACCCAAAAAATGGTATTAAGGAAAGGCTGCCTTAGGAAGTAAGAATTTTTACTAAAGATTTTCAGAGAGTCTGTATATCATTTGCCAAAGATATTATAAGGAATGTGTGAGAGATTTCTATAATGTAACTACTATTCAAAATAATTCCTTTGGAAAGGATCATGCATAAAATATCTTGCCTCCCACCACGACTAATCCAATGTCTTACACTGGGTAGAACTCAGCAGATATTTGCTAATTAAGTAAGTTTATGGCTTTCAGAGCCTATAGCAGTTCATTTGAATATTTCCTATGGTGAACAATATCTACTCTTTAAGGTTGAATTTAATTTGTGGAAATAGTAAAAGGGCATTAGAAGTCAAATGTGATGGACAAGGTAGATAAACTAGGCAGTAAATTTTGGCTTAAAAAGATATAAAATGAAAGTTATTGAGATGATGTCTATAATCATTCAGCACTGAACCTAGCACAGGGTAAATGCCCATTCAATTGTAGGCATTCATATTGTTATAAACTGAACCTGAGGGCAAATCCTCAAAAAAAAGAATTAAATAATGGCAACTCTGTAAGAATAAATGTGTTGTGATTCTTTTCAAAGAAATAAACTCATCTGTACACATGAAAATTTTAGAGTGGTGCATTTGTTAACATGACTCTTAACACTTAGTAACACATTATATCCCAGTTTTTTCAGAACCTTGATTACAGGGTAACAATATGTATGATTTAGCTAAGCATTTTCCTATAAAGCATTGAATGCAAAACTTAAAGATTAAAGGTTTATCCTATATGAATATTTCTCCCTTAAATCCAAATTTAAAAGCCTTTTCCCACCTGGGCATCCTTCAGGGCCTCTTCAGTTGGTTGGGCTCTCCAGACACTGGTAATATTAGCAATCTGACTTTTCTTTCAAAACAGAGAATACAGAAAAAAAATTAGAAATTGGGACCTTGTCCAGGAAACACACACTGCAATGTATATTTTATAATTAGAGTGTCTTAAAATGTGAAGATGAAGCAAAACCTTGACCGAATGCTATTTCCAGAATAAGTGAATTGTTTTGTGAACAAGAAACAATGATAATACCTGGGATCTCTCAGCTAGTTTGACATTTTCTGGCAGAGCTACTGGAGGTCTCTGCTGTTGAGAGTTCATTTTCTCCTCCATAGACTTTTTCATAATTTTCGTTTCTGAAATATATTCTACATCAGAGTCTGTCTCTTCTATGTTTCTTTTCTGTCCTCTATGGCTCACTGAAAGCTCAAAGGATGAAAGAGATTCATGCTTCAAGTCATCGCCCAAAAGCCTGATTTTCTGGGTTTTGGTGTTTTCCTTAAATAACAAAGAACATGTTTTTATTTTTTGGTAGATAGCTTATTTATAATTAATCACCACTTCTTTCATAACCTCATTATAATAGGTATTTCTTATTACTAATAAAAAGTTTAAAAATCAAAAGTTTAGAAACAACTTTAGCAAATGTATAATGCCACAATGGCTTATTAAGAATTTGATTCCTAAATAGCTGCAAAGTTGTGCTGGGTCAAGAAATCTGATTTTGAGGATAAAAAAGCCCAGCAATTGAGAACACACTGTGCATTCTGACTTCATCCCAATAGAGGTTCACTTGCCTTTGGCTCCCTGCTGCAAACAAGGCTGGTCCTCATCCCTATTCACATTCACATCCTGCTTCCTGCCCCTTGCTAGCTGCTACTGCAGTCAATGAAAGATACATTTGCTAAGAGATCTAGAATACACGTGTCTGCTTGTTAGAGCCTATTCTCTTTTGTAAGAAACCAAAAATAACTATTAGAAGGAGAGGAGTTGAGGGCAGAGCACCGAGTGACATTCTAGTTATTCTAAGCATATCATTATCCTCCATAGCCTTAGTGTCCACTAGTCAAGTAACCTTCTCCGCAACAGTGCTGAGGGCTCAATGAAACTCTTTAGCTCCCATTTTCCTTCACATAAACCACTACCATTTTGTAAAGTTACGATACAGTCGAGTATACTAGTTTGTTCATAGCTAAGTCAAATCTCAAGGCATGAGACAATGTTATTATTACGGAGGACTTACAATGACATGTTACAATCTATTTCCCATGGCAAGTTACTTGCAGGTGATTTTTACTGCTTTCCACTCCAGAAGAATCCCTTTCTTCATCTTGCTCTCAGACTCTGGTGATAATTTATTATAAAATGGGTAGGTTCTAAGTCTGGTTTTGCAATTCAGGTATGTGGTGATCTTAGATAAATTACTATAAAAGGAGGGAGCTGGATTATAAGACTATACCAGCTCCAACTTATTACTGGGTTCATTGGTCTCTGATTCCTTGATATAGTAGCAGAAGGTGCAAATTAAAAACACACACACATAAACTAAAAAGACAGGACAGAAACAACTGTTCCAATATTTAAAGTGAATAGTAAAGAAATGCCAAAGATACAAAATAAATTATGTATATCAGAAATCTGTTTATTTAAAGGTTGTCTGAGTTTATAAATCTCATCATCTGCCTGTTAAGAAATGTGAACAATTAAAATTATAAAGAGTTCCATATTTTTGTGTGTGACTGATATAACTGAGAAGCTCTAACTAAAGGCTCAAAAATGTTCCTCTCTAAATTTTAAATTCTACATAAGAACAGATATTTGAGGAATATAATGTAATATGACATTTAGCAAACACAAGAAATGACATAGGAACTACATATACAACATATTTCTAGGCAAATACACATCCGTAGACAAAAAACATATATGTATATATCCCTAGAAAGTACTGGAAAGAAATACATCATTTTAAAAGGTTATTATGCACAGGAAGGAAGATAATGGGTGATTTAAATTTTGTTTATGTTTTATTTTCTAACTTATCCCTAATAAACATGTATCACTCTAACAATAATAAAATGGCAGTTAAAATCTATTAGTGCTTCACTGTGTGAACCTCATAAACCATGAAGACCGTTGGCCCTCGATAAGGCTTATCCTTCACATGGTTAAAACATGACATAAATTGCTTAATCCTACATTAATTACTCACCTTATCTGCTGAGGTTAGGCAGGTGGAAGTGACAGTGATTTCGTCCACTGGTATAAATTGAGGCTTTATGGGAAAACAAACCATTAAGGCAAATGTAAGTAAAAATAACCTTCAGTTGGCATAGGGTAATAATTCAGCATTCTCCATTTCTTAAAGAAAGGTCAAGATAGCAAACCCTCATGAATAATTGTTCAAGAAGTGCATTTAAGTTTAGATATACTGTAGTAATGTTCTGATTAGTAGTGACAAGATAGTGCAAGAAAATCCAATGGTTTGTTGAAGCATTATGGATCAAACGTCTTTGAACAAGGCATTGCTCTGTTGAACTGAGTCTCGTGTCCAGCCTCCACAGCCCTTGTCTCTTTTCTCTCAAGACTCTCTGTTCCCCAACTACAGGGTCCCGGGTCTGGAAGGAATCCTGACCTTAGGCAGCAGCACTGTCTAGTTCAGAGCTCTGGGCATCAGCTTCAATGGACTCTTGAGGGTAAACTGGCCCTGCCTATGTCCCTAATGCAGTCAGTGCCCAATCACATTTACTATTCCTCAGGCTTATTTTCATGTTTCCATACTTTGGCCTGAAATGACTTTTCCAAACTTGTCCATTTGTCAAATTCCACTCATCCTTCAGGTCTCAGTTCAGATAACTATCCTGAAGGTCTCCTCCAATTCCCCAAGGGATAATTAATTGCTTTATCTTCTATGCCCTCATGGCATTGTTCCTCTCTACATGTTTATAGAGGTAATGTAGTCACATGTGACAACACATTTTTAGAAGTATATTAAAATGAAGCCTCTTTACTACTTCAATCTCCACTTGTCTAATTCATATTCCATTAACATGTGACCACTGATACCACCATCTTGTTCAATGTTTCTGCAGATCTGTTTATATTTCATATATATAAGCATATATATGTGTGTGTGTGTGTGTATATATATTTTTCCCACTTTTTGTGGCAGGGAAAGATGGTAGTATATTATACACACGGTCTGCATCATGCTTTTTTATTTAAGGATATATCCTAGAGGTCTTTCTCTTTAGTACATAAAGAGCTTCTTATTCTCTTTTACAGCTGTATTGTTGTATTCCAGTGTATTGTTGCAAAAAAATGTATTTAACCAGGTCTGTTGATTGACATTTGGATCTCCTTAATCTTTTACTATACAAACAATTTTGCAGTGACCAACCTAGTAAATAGGTAATTTCACATTTGGGTTAATATGTCCATATAATCAATTTCCAAAAGTGAACTTTCTGGGTCAAAAGGTACATGCATTTATAATTTGGATAGACACTGCTAAATTGTCTCTGCCAGGCTTTTTGGTGGCCTAGCATATAGTCATCCTGTGATTATTCCAAGAGTACTTGAAAAGAAATACATACTCTATTTTGAGAGTGCAGAGTTTAGATAGATAGATAGATAGATAGATAAAATTATATGTATATTGCTATTATTATTATTATTTAGGTATCCCTGAGCTGAGAGTAAGTTAAAGTTTCCTATTACTAGTATGATTGTCTCTTTTTTTCATATATCACTTGTAATTATTGCTTTATTGACATCATATACACGTTTGATATTGGTTCAACCATTTTATTTTATCCTTTACTTTTATAATTTAAGTTTTCAATGATACATAGTATTTTCTCTTTTTCTAGTGACCTCCATTATGGTGATAACTTTATATAATATTTTTAGTTTTCTCTGTCTTTAGACAGGATCTATGTATTTCCTACTCTGAACAGTGGCAAAATTTATTTTCTCTTCCCTCTTTTGTTCCCCTGATTTTTATCAACAGTATGAGCCTTCCCAGTGTCTAACTTAGTACTAAGAAGTATGTTGAAATCAAATAAATGACACCTCTTGGTCTCCTATTACAGTTGAGGCAAACATCAAACTACTTTTCCCCTTCTATCACCCTTGCCTTTCCTTTTTTGTTAGCCGAATTATTTTTACATTGCCAGGGTATTTACACTCAGTCTGGTATTTAATGTCACATATATTTTAGGCTTTTTGCTTTAATTAAATACAGTCAATGCTCACATCCAGTTCTTTGCTGTAGAATTTTCAGACATCTCTTGCTGGTTGAAGTTTGATCCCTGGTAGTTTCCTCAAAAAGAGATCATGAGAATATTTCCTGAGTTCTTTCCTATTTTTATTTTATTTTATTTACTTATTTATTTATTTGAGATGGAGTCTTGTTCTGTCGCCAGGCTGGAGCGCAGTGGCACAATCTCCTCTCACTGCAACCTCCACCTCCCGGGTTTGAGCGATTCTCCTGCCTCAGCCTCCCAAGTAGCTGAGACTACAGGCGCACACCACCATGCCCAGCTAATTTTTGTATTTTTAGTAGAGACTGGGTTTCACCATATTGGCCAGGATGGTCTCCATCTCTTGACCTTGTGATCCGCCCGCCTCGGCCTCCCGAAGTGCTGGGATTACAGGCGTGAGCCACCATACCCAGTTCTTTCCTATTTTTAAAACTATTTACCTGTAGGCTTTTTATGTGAAGAGTAATTTAGTGAATATAAAAGTCTTGGTTCACACTTCCTTTCCGTGAGGATCTTACAGTTTTTACTTCATCACCTGGAGCTGATTTTTTTTTAGCGAAGTTTGAAGCCAAAGTGAACTGTTTTGTCCCTATAGGTGACTTGATGTTTATACCTGTTGGTCAAAGGAATCTATATTTTTTATAGTCGAGTAATTTTATTATAATATACATCTTACTATTGACTATTCTCGGGGCAGTTTTTCCCTATTGTGTAGCATACCATTTCAAACATGTAGCTTCAAGTTTTACCCTTTTCCTGAAAAGCATGCCTGATTTATATCTTTAAAAATGTGTTCTTCCATTATTCTGTTTTCTCTGGGTATTCAAATTATGCAAATATTGTGTCTCCTTCTTACTTCTATCATTATCATTTTCTGTGTAATTAATTGTAAGCAATTCTTTCCTAATTTCTATTATTTTTATTTGCTTTTTACTTTTATCCTCTACACCAGGGGACAGCAAACTTTTTCTGTAAAAGGTTAGATAGAAAATAGTTTTGCAAGTCAGTGTTCTCTCTGTCTCTCCTCTCCCTCTTTCTCTCTTTACCATCTAAAAATGTAAAAGTCATTTTCAGCTTGTGGGCCATAAATGAACAGAGGGTGGACTGGATTTAGCCTATGGGTAATAGTTTGTGACCTTTGCTCTATATCCCCACTGTCCTTACCAAAATGATAATTTTTCTTGTGTTCTTTCCAATTGTATGATTTCATTTCTTCTGTTTCTTTAAGTTCTGAAAATTACGTTTTATTTCATTGTCTCCTACAGTCTCAGCATCTCTTCACAAATCCTTATATTTCTGTTTTAGAATCTTCTTGCATAAAAATGACTTTTTTCATTGAGTTTTAAAAAATGTATGTATAAATGTGTATGTTTAATTTCCTTCCGATGTGCATTTTAATTTTTCTTTTTTCTGATTTACAGCTTTAGTGACATATAGCTGACAAACAAGTAACAGCACAAAATTCAAATATATAATTTGAAAGCCTTTGATATATGTATAATAATCAAGATAATTAACATACCGATCATCTCCAAAACTTTCTTGGTCTCCCCAGCACCTCTTCCAACCCTGTCCCATTCCTAAGCAACCACTGATCTGCTTTCTCTTGCTGTCAATTAGCTGCATCTTCCGGAGTTTTATATTAAGTGAAATCACACAGTATGCAATCTTTTTTTTGTTTGACCTCTTTCACTCAGAAGAATTATTTAAAAACTCATCCATATTGCTGTGTGAATCAAGAGTGCATTTCTTCCTGTTACTAAGTAATTTTCCACTGAATGGACATGCCATAATTTGTCCTTTCACCTTTTGATGGTCATCTGGATGGCTTCCAGATTTTGGCAATTACAAACAAAGCTGCTTAGTATAAGCACACAAGCACAAGTTTTGAAGTGGACATATGCTTACATTTCTTTTGACTAATACCTCGGAGTGGAATATCTGGGTCATATGATAGGCGTATCTTTAACTTTTTAAAAACTGCCAAACTAGGCTTACCCCTATAATCCCAACCCTTTGGGAGGCCAAGGCAGGAGGATCGCTTGAGGCCAGGAGTTTGAGACTGCTGTGAGCTATGACTGTGCAGTCCAGCATGGGCAACAGAGTGAGACCACATCTCAAAAAACAAAAAAACACTGCCAAACTGTTTTCCTAAGTCATTTTACCATTTTGCATTTTTAATGGTTGCTCTCTATCCTAGGTCAACATAGCATAATCATTTTAACTTTATCCATTGTAGTGAGTGTGTAGTGGTTATCTCATTGTGGTTTTAATTTGCAGTTCCCTTAATTATTAATGAAATTGACTTTTCATGTGTTTATTGGCTATCTGCAAGTCTCCTTTGGTTAAGTAGCTGCCTAAATGTGTCTATTTTTTAACTGCATTGTTTTCTCACTATTTGTTTTTGTTTTTGTTTTTGTTTTGAGACGGAGTTTCGCTCTTGTTGCCCAGGCTGAAGTGCAACAGCACAATCTTGGCTCACTGCAACCTCTGCCTCCCAGGTTCAAGCCAGTCTCCTGCCTCAGCCTCCCGAGTAGCTGGGATTACAGGCATGCACCCCCACGCCCGGCTAATTTTGTATTTTTAGCAGACATGGGGTTTCTCCGTGTTGGTCAGGTTGGTCTTGAACTCCAGACCTCAGGGGGTCCACCCGCCTTGGCCTCCCAAAGTGCTAGGATTACAGGCGTGAGCCACCAAGCCCAGCCGAGTTTTAAAAGTTCTCTCCATACTCTAGATACAAGTCCACTGTCAGGTATTGTTTTGCAAATATTTTCTCCAAGTCTGTAGCTTGACTTCAATTTCTCAACAATGTCTTCTGAAGAGCCAAAGTCATTAATTTTGATGAAGTACAATTAAAAAAAAATTCTTTTTATAGTTCATGCATTTTGTGTCATATTTTAGAAATATATGCCAAATACCAGGTCACTAAAATTTCTTCCTATATTTTCTTCTAGAAGGTTATCTTTTACATTTAGCTCCATGATCCATTTCAAAATAATGTTGTATATAA